AGTTACTCTTCTCTCGTTGCTGGGACAAATACCCGACACTCAAAATGAAGGAAGGAAAGTTTTATTTAGTTCACAGTTACTGGAGGTTTCAGTCCATACTCAGCTGGGTCCAACGCAGAGCAGCACAGAGCAGAAAGCAACCTTTCATGGCGGAGGCAAAGAGCAAGAGTGCAAGGGAGGGGTAGCAGCAGCTCAAGCAGTTGGCTTCTCTTCCCACCTTACATTGTAATGCAGATCACCTGCCCCAGGGTAGGGGAAGTACTCACACCTATGGCTACTTCCCAGTACTTACCCACCTATGGGTAATCCCAGCAGTACTAAGACCCATAATCCCAGCCTTGTATTCCACATAATCCCAGTGGATCATGAGTTAACACAAACTCTAGAAGTCCTCACCCCATGACTACATGAGGCTTTGGGGGGACAACAAGACACAAACCATAACACCGCTCAATGGCATAAACACCTGCCTGGCAAGTGCAAGGTCCTGAGTTCAATCCCCAGCACCAAAACCAAAAACAAACAAACAAACAAAACGCAATAAAAAATCGTCACTGTCTCTCGAGAACAGAGCTTGAGTGTGGAGCAATGTTGCAGTGCCACCCACGACATCACAGAGCCACCACGGAGACCCGGGCCTGGGGCGAGGAGGGCACCCCCGAGCCTCCCCAGAAGATCGTAAATGTGGCCTGATTGTAAGAAAAGGCTGGTGTCAGGTACAGGGAACCCAGCCATTTGGGGGGCTCAGGCAGGAGGGTCACAAGTTTGAGCCCAGCCTGAGCAAATCAGTGAGATCCTGTATCAAAATAAAATGGCTGTGGGTGTCCTCAGTGGTTCAGTGCTTGCCTAGCATGTGGGGACTCGGGTTTAAACTCCAGTATGGAAAATAAGTAAGTAGGTGAGTTTTGTTTGTTTGCTTTTGTTTTCATTTATCATTTTATTTCAGGCAGGGTCTCACTGTAGTGTAGGCTGGCCTTGAGCACACCTTGCAGCTCAGCATGGCCTCAGACTTACCGCAATCCTCCTGCCTCAGCCTCCTGAGCGCTAGGCTTACAGGCGTGTGCCACCACACTGGGTTGCTTGCTTTTTCCTGCAGGGCTAGAGATGGACTCTAGGGCCCCCAGCATGCTAGGCAAACTCTTACCACTGAGTGGCACCCTAGTCCTATTGTATTTTGACATAAAGTTTCACTAATGTCCAGGCTAAATTCAAACTTGCGATCCCCTGCTTCAGTCTCCTGAGTATGTGCCACACCACTGCAGCCACATGAAAGTTTAAAAAAATATGCATTACCTAAGAAATGTGCCGTTCCTCAGATGTTAGGATGTTTAAGAATCCTGTGGCTTTTAAAAAACTACAGTATGGTTGAAACTGAAATCCACTGGAGTGAAGAACAACATCTTGTAAAATAGCTGGGCAGGGGGGTGTACACCTGCCATCCCAGTGCAGGGGAGGCTGAGGCAGGCGAATCAGAATCTCAAATGCAGTCTGAACAATTCCGGCGGCCAAGCTTCGGCCAGTCATAGCAGCCAACTGACCATCCCAAGTGCCAGCAGGCAAAAGCCCAGCTGCAGCCGGCTGGTCAGGGACCCTCCCCTCCCCTCCCTCCCCTCCCCTCCCCTTCCCTCCTCTCTGTTATCTCTTCCTTCCCTCCCTTCCTCTCCCCTCCCCTCTCCTCCCCTTCCTTTCCTTCCCTTCCGTTTATTTATTTGATACAGGGTCTCTCTACGCAGTTCCGACTTGTAGTGATCCTCCTGCCTCAGGTTCCCCATTACACACCTGTAATCCCACTACTGGGGAAGCTGAGGCAGGAAGATCATTTTGAGTTCAAGGCCAGCCTGAACTGTATAGTGAGACCCTGTCTCAAAAAGACAACTGTTTTCACAAAAAACAAAACCTGAAACAAACACTGAGCTTGCAGGAGGAACTCTGGGAACATTTGGTTCTTCTTTGCTCAAATATACTCTGCTGAATTCAATTTCTCCAAACACTTTTAGCACACCAAACACTATAGCTAAGATGTAGAACTGTTCTGTTACCCCCACCCCCAATTCACTCATTCCCCCACCTGCAAGAGAGCAGAGAGTGGATTCTGCACATTTCATGCAGGTGTCCAGAACGCAGGGTGGCGGCGTTCACCATCACCTTGCTCCAGTCACGGTGCCGGACACTTGCCGCACTGGAGAAGCGAAGTGCTGCAGAGGGCGGTGGGCCGGAGGCTCAGCTGCGCCACCACGCACCGCGGGGCAGCTCAGGGCTTTGTCCTAAGGAAAAACAGAGCTTTTTGCTCAGCCTAATGCTTCTTCTTGGTTTATTTGTATTGAGCTGTAGTTCTTTCTTTCTTTCTTTCATGTGTTTGGTTGTCGCAGAGTGTCACTTGCAGCTCAGACTCGTGGTGTTCCTCTTGCTTTCAGCCTCTCCAGCATGGGGATTACAGGCATGTGCCACTACACCCAGACTGCGGCCAGCTCAACCCGCCTTGGGGGTGGGGCTGGGTATCAACGGGGTCCCTGCTCTTGCCTAAACTCGCCTAAGCAGGCGCTTTAGTCCACTGAGCTATCTCGGGGCCTGGAGTTTTTCTGTGTTATGCATATTAGTCTCCAGCAGGGGAGATGGCTCAGTGGAATAAGTGCTTCCCTGGCAAGCACAAGGGCCTGAGTTCAAACCCCGGTTCTACTGAAACAAAAACAAAAAATATTTTAGTCTCTTACTGGAATCATGACTTGAAATTATCTTTTCCATTCTGTATGCATGAGCAGGTTTCTTGGTGACCATAATGGTATCAGTCAATGCTGACTACAGTCAGATGTAGAACAGGGCAGGCACATCTTCCCGCACCGGAGACCCTCAGAATCCCGCCGAGGCCTGGATCCCACACCGATGCCGGCAGAGTCCCGCTGGAACCCAGAGCCTGCACCAGTGTCTGAGGCAAGTCTGGCTCAAGGATCTGCACTGGGAAGGCTCGAAGGTCAGCGGTGGGAGCTAGAAAGTCTGCATTGGTGGGGCAAAGGGTCTGTGCCAGCAGGCTGGGCTTCTGCCCCGGAGCCAGGGGGCAGAGGCTCAGGCAAGGGCCAGCGCTCCCCCGAAGAGAATGGAGGCTGTTCTCAGTGACAGCGAGGGCCTGAGCTCCTCCCCGATGGTGACAGCAAGTCCGCTGCAGGATGACCAGCCTCTGCTAGCTTCTCAGGAGAATCAAACGACACCGTCCTCCCTCCTGTTCAGCTTTGATGCCAGTGGCAGCCAGTCTCAGCTGCCTTCCACACCCAGCATTGCGCTGCCTCAGGTCAGCTGGGCACCCCGCTTAAACGGGTCCTTAGCTAAGCCGCCACAACAATCGAAAAATATCCTACTAGAACGTTTAAATGAGCAGTTAAGTTTCCAGCACATTGAGCAGAAAGGGATGCAGGTTTCCCATGTAGCTGCGGTTCCCACGACTGTGCAAGAAACCTCTATTTATGAATGAGCAGCCGATGAGTCCATGTTGATCTATAACTATCAGGCACAGGCTAGAATTTACAGGAGGACTGACTCTTCATTGAATATAGGTGTGGGCAGTGCAGAACATTGAACCTGGGACCTTCATGCTGAGCTATGTCCTGGCCCTTTCTAAAAATTTGAGGGCCCGGGGAGGTAGCTCAGTAGAATTAGCACTTGCCTGGCAAGCGCCTAGGCCCTGAGTTCAATCCCTAGTACCGCAAATAAATAAATAAATAAATAAGTAACAATAAATTTTGAATCAGGATCTTACTAAGTTGCCCACACTGGTTGGTCTTCCTTTCTTTTTCTTTTCTTTAACGTTCAATCCTGTTTCAGCCTCCCAAGGTGCTGGGATCACAGGTGTGTGCCACCACGCCTGGCTGGGACAGAGGTCGCTCTACCTATCAGGTAAATGCCCAGGAACGTGGTTGCCGGCTCCAGTGGGAAGTGCAGGTTTGCCTCCGTCAGCCACAGCCCTGCCGGCCTCTCTGGAAGGGGCAGCTGAGTCCCAGTGAAGCTCAAGAATTCCAGCTGTTTCCTGTCCCCTCCTCACCCAAGCCTGGTGTCACTGGATTTTTGGTTTTGAGACAAGGTCTTGCTATGTAGCTCAAGTTGGCCCTGGAGCTCACTATGGAGCCTGGGCTGGCCTTGAATTAATGGTGATCCTCCTGTCACAGTCTCTTGTGCTCCCCTAGTGCTGGGATGACACAGGTGCGCCATCACGCCTGGTGGCTGCTCTTCTCTCTCTTCCTCTTCCTTCTCCTCCTGTTCCTTTTTCTGGGAGTCATTGGCTTTTAGCCTTCATCCTTGGGGGGCTCTAGGGTGCCATCTGTGTGACAGGGCACAGGACAGGGGCAGACTCCGGTTGCCCAGACTGTAGCTGGCAAGGCTGCAGCAGCACTGCCTGCTGGGAGGTTGGTAGCAGGATGAGAAAAGTGTGGGGGTAAATGGGGTTCAGGGTCTTGGGGTGCAGAGGCCCAGGAAACTGAGCTGGAGAGGAAAGGGGATATGTGTGGTCCCACAGTCGGCGGACATGGACTGGAGAACACCTGATCCCACTGGTCCTCAGCACGAGATTCTGGGTCTGGCTAAGGCTGGCAGGGGCAGCGCCCTGCCTCCACTCGGAGGATGCTGGGTGCCCACAGGAGCAGCAAAGGCCTGGCAAGCCCTGCTTGGAGGGCTCTGCTGGTATGACTAAGCCCAGGGGTCCTCAGACTGTGGCCTTGGGTCATTTCCCCCACCAGGACACAGCAGGTGGCAGGAATGGCAGGTGCATCCCTGTCAGAGCCTGGTCCTCTTCCCTGGGCCAGGAGCTGGCTCCTGTGCCCGCCGTGGTCCCTTACCTCCTTAGATCCTCAAGGGACGCTACAAGGGAGGTGTACAGGGAACTGACATCCCAGCAGCAGTGCTCAGAGGGGGTGGGGTTTGAGCTGGGGCGGTCCAGCCTTCCTGCCAACCCTCCTGTGTCCTGATAGGGCCAGACCCAGCTTTGCCATGGCTGGCTGCTGTGGCTCCCCACAGAGGGCCCCGGTGACCTGTCCGAGCCCCTGTCCTTGCCCCTGGATGCCATCGCAGGCCACCCAGAAAGCTTGGCTGTAACTTGAGTCTGCTAGGCTGGGGGTGATGGGGCGGTGTGGGGGTGACAGGCAGGCAGAACACTTGCCCACACGCTGGCCGCAGCTGCTTGACCCTGGCACCCTGGAGGCCGTGGTCCTCACCATGGGCAGCAAGCAGACGGTGTTCACGCGTGAGCAACTCGAGGAGTATCAGGTGGGCATGGTGGCGGGCATGGGACAGCCCCTTCCTCTGGCTGTGCACAGCGTGGGCTCCCGCAGAGCTCTGTGGGAATCAGGCTGCCTGAGTGGGTCGGGCCATAGAGGGGACGGGGGCCAGGCCCAAGATGAGGCCAGAGCTAAGGCCGCACCTCTGTCCCCAGGACTGCACATTCTTCACCAGGAAGGAGATAATGAGGTAAGTTGGGGGAGGGCCCTGTGCAGAGCTGGGGACCTTTGTACGGGGTGACCCAGTGTGTTGGTGTGTCACAGCATGAGAGTGCTTGCAGTGGGCACACAGAGAAGCCATATGTGGGCCTGTCATCCAAGCCCTGGGGAGGCTGAGGCAGGAGGATTGCTGCAAGTTCCAGGCCAGCCGGGGCCATGTGGAGTTCAAGACCTGTTTGAGCTGCATAACGAGACGCTGTCTCACAACAACAGTGAAGCCCGCATGCTGTCCTGTTGTTACTGACCAGCTGGGGCTTCCTCCCAGGGAGGCCTGTGGGTGGGGGTGGCACCTCAGCACCCCTGCAGAGCACGCAGCCAACCTTGGGCTGTGGGTGGCACTGTGGCGTCTGCTGGCCATGAGCCCAGTGAGCTGGCACACATGAGCACCCTGTCGTCATCCAGCCTTGGGGCTTTGTCCAGGGGCCCCAACCGATGGCCTGGCAGCCATGAAACCCAAGCCGGTTGGGCTTCGGTGGCCGTGAGGGCAGGGTCGGGCCCTGAGTGTGGGCACGGGCATCCATTATTGATGGGTGCACTTCTCGCCAGGGAGCCCATTGTCTGAGCCTGGACAGCTGTGGGGTCACCTTGGCCATTGCGATCAGATTACTGTCTGGGAAACTGAGGCTGGGATAGAGCCAGGTGGACTTCACGCCCCTGGCAGATGTGCAGAGCCACAAGGACACTGCAGGCTGGCATCTTGCCTGTCCCAAGCTTCCTAATCACTGGAATAACCGAGGCTTGGAGAGGAAGGGGGACGTGCCAAAGGCTGCAGGGGAACCCACGCTCCAGGCACTGTTCATCGAGGGAACCCTGGGAGGGACGCAGGGGTCAGGACCACCCTTGGGCTCCTGCTGAGCTGCCGGGTGCAGCTTTCTTACCAGGCTTGTGGGCTGGGGGAGGGGCACCTCCCAGGGCCCGCCAACCCCTGCTCTACCCCCCTTGGAGACAGCCCCAGCGGCTGGAGAGCCCAGAGTCAGCAAGCGCCCCTGGCGTGGCAGCTGCTCAGCCTCCACCACGCAGCCTCTGCCTCGCAGCCTCCACCACGCAGCCTCCACCACGCAGGTGCAGCGCCTCCAGGCGGGGGCGTGTGGCGGAGAGCCGGTCTGCAGGCGGGGGTGTGAGTGGTGTTAGATGCTGTGTCCTTTGAAAAACCACACAACAGTAGTCTGCCTCTGACCTGGCTTTTGGGAGAAGCTAGTTTCTTACAGAGAAAGAGGGAAAGTGTAAGGGCTGCAGAGACTGTCTTGGTGACAACGTGACGATGTCTAGAGCTGTAGAGAATACTCGGGGCTTTCTGAACGCTCGCTGCGACACAGTTAGGCCACACGCACACTCCCTTTGGCCAACCCCGGCTCCCTGGTGAGCTCCCGCGCCTGCTGCCAAGCCAGCGTCAGCACCCCTCCTCCAGAGATCCCTTTCTTCTCCCTGGCTTGCGTTTCCTTTCGCAGCCTTCCCCGTCCTTGGGGTGTTCGCCCCATGTTGGTCCCATCTGCTGGTGGCTGAGGGTCAGACCCAGGGCCAGCGGCGCCTGGAGACCCAGCCCTGGGCAGTGTGGCTGAACAGCTGCCAGGTGAGGTGGGACAAGCCCCTTCCTCCTCTGGCTCCATCCCTGGCATCCCTCCCCACCAGGCTCTTCTACCGTTACCAGGACCTGGCGCCCCAGCTCGTGCCCCTGGACTACACCGGCTGCCCAGCTGTGAAGGTGCCCTACGAGCTCATCGGCAGCATGCCAGAGCTGAAGGTGTGGCTGGGGAGCAGGGGACGTGGTCAGGGGCCCCTCCTGGCATTCTGCACTGCAGGCAGAGCCCACCATGACCCCAATTACAAAAGATGAGAAAGCCAGGGCCAGAGAAGTTAGCACCCTTGACCAACTCACACAATTACAGCTCAGCAGGCAGGATCAAAGCCGGGGTGCTAGGCGATGGGGTGAAACCACATAGGTAAGGGGATTTGTAAGTACTGACAGAAAGGTAGATCTTTTTGGATTGGGTTATCTGAAACAACAACAACAACAAGAACAAGAAGCTATTCCAAACTGCATGTGGTGTCCCATGACTGTAATTCCAGCACGCTGGAAGGCTGTGGCAGGGGACTGCCTTTTCAAGCCCAGCCTGGGCAATTTAGTGACTTAGCCAGACCTTATTTAAAATACAGAACCAGGGCCAGGGAGATGGCTCAGTAGAACAAGCGCTTTCCTGGCAAGCGCAAGGGCCTGAGTTTAATCCTTGGTTCTGCAAAAGCAAAACCAAACAGAACAGGACAGAACCAGGGATATAACTCAATGCAAAGGCTCTGAGTTCAATCCTCAGAACTGAAAAGGAAAATAACCCAGGAGCGGGGTTAGTGCCAGGTATGGCTGGAACCAGGACGCTCAGGAAACGCCCACTCAACGGTGTGTGTGTGTGTGTGTGTGTGTGTGTGTGTGTGTGTCCAGGGAAGCCTCTGATTGGCCAAATAGAGTCACATGTCTAACTCCACACCCAATCATCGCCCGCACACGAATGGACCAATGGACCGCTTGCACCGGCTTCCCCTGGGCACGCGGTGCTCCAACAAGACCACCAAGCCGGTGGTGTGTAGGCTGGCTCTATGGGAGCCTTCTGGGCCGGGTCCTGAGGTCCCGCGAGGGCTGATGCAGACGGACCCTGGAGCCCCTCCCGGTACCTTTCTTGTCCCAGGACAACCCTTTCCGCCAGCGCATCGCCCAGGTCTTCTCCGATGACGGCGACGGCCACATGACGCTAGACAACTTTCTGGACATGTTTTCCGTGATGAGTGAGATGGCCCCGCGAGACCTGAAGGCCTACTACGCTTTCAAAATTTATGGTGCGTGCAGAGGTTTGCGCGAGCGCGAGGGCGCCGCGGGTCTCAGCCTCGGCAGGCCGGGGTGCCCTGCTGTCGCGCGCCCTCAGTTCTGTCGCTTGCCTCGGTCAGGCGGTGCTGAGGACGGGACCCAGGCACAGGCCAGGCACGCAGGCCTGGCCACCCAGCTGCACCTCTGCGCGGATCTGTTCCCAGACCAGGGTGGGGACAGGCATGACAGCAGTGAACAGTCGCTGAATGAATACACAAGGAGAAGGAAAGTAGCTTCTGGTTTCTCCCAGGCCCCCAGTAAATAGTCGTGAGAGAGGGGGGACAAACACGCACGTACGCCACATAGGCGCTCACTAGACACGACTGGGAGCACGAATGTGAAGTCGCCTCTTTGCCAGGCACACAGCCGGCACTCAAGGCATACTTGACCCAGGCGTGGTGAAGCATGCCGGTAATCCCGGCCCCCTGGGAGGCTGACGCAGGAGGATCCCAAGTTTGAACCCTGCCTGGGGAACTTAGTGACTTAGCAAAACCATGTTTCAAAATAAAACCATGAAAAAGGACTAGCAGTGTAGCTCAGCATGAAGGCCTTGGGTTCAGTCCGCCAGACCCAGGGGAGAATACATAAATACCTTGTTAGTGAGTAAGAGTAAGTTACCACGATAGCAGACACACCGAGTACACTCTCCATAGGTAACTCAGATGAACGAATGAATTATTCCCAGCTGGTTCCTGCCCATCCCAAAGAAAGGTCCAGAATCTACTCATTGGTCTTGGGCGCTCCCCAGTACCTCAGTTTCCTCCTGTCACAAGATACTGAGATGTCTACACGGCGCCACCTGCCATCCACACCCCTGTGCCCCACAGACTTTAATAATGATGACTACATCTGCGCCTGGGACCTGGAGCAGACGGTGACTCGGCTGACCCGGGGCGAGCTGAGTGCTGAGGAGGTCAGCCTGGTGTGTGAGAAGGTGCTGGATGAGGCGGACAGCGACCACGATGGGCGGCTGTCCCTGGAGGACTTCCGGAACATGATCCTGCGGGCCCCCGACTTCCTCAGGTGACACCCCGCCCCCATCCTGACAGAGACTGTCATGGGAAGTCCTCCGCTGATTCATGTTCGACCTTGGGAAACGTCTGCTTTCCTGGCCGCAGCCCTGCATCTGGGGATGGCTGGGGGCCCCGGGGTGCCTCCTGTGGGTGAATTCGGCGCCTCGGTGTTCGGTCTCCCTGCCCCAACAGTTTCATGGGGAACAGCCTGCACAGCTCTACTCGGCAGCCTGGGGCCCGATGCGAGCCCTACTGCAGGGCTGAAGTGGAGTTGGGAGTTAGCACAGGGCTGGCGAAGGGGGAGCCGCAGACCTCGCCTGTCCTGTTTCTGGACTTTTCATGAGCCTAGACCAGGTTTTACATTTCACACGGGTGAGCCTAGGAATAGTCCAGTTAGCGTCATGGCAGACATGGGTCAGCCCAGCAGTCTGGGAGGCTGAGGCAGGAGGATCACACATTTAAGCCCAGCCTGGCAACTACTGAGAGGCTGTCTCCAACAAAAGGAGAAGACGAAAGCAGCAGCTTCCGTGTCTAGTGACAATGGTACAAAATCACAGCTCTGTGTCCATGGATAGTTTGACTGGCACAGCATCATAGCACTGGTGTGACCGCGGCCGCAGGCCAGGAGGCGCGTCTCGGTTGTTGGCACTGATTCGCTTTTCTTTCCAGCACCTTCCACATCCGCATCTGAGGAGGGTGTCCCCAGGAGGAGCTGCAGCAGGGCTGCCATGGGAATAAAGAGTCACTAAGTCACACCTGCTGTCCCTCCTTCCCAGGTCCATCTTTGGTCTAGAGGCTGGGTGGCAGGAGGTTCTGTGTCCACGGTACCCTGCTGTTTGCCTGGGGTGGCGGCCCCCTCTGGGCCACATTCATGGCTTGCACGGATGTCTGCGTCAGCTTCTGGATCGCTGTCCTCGCAAAGGTGGCAGTGCCACCTGTGTGTCTGTGGGGCAATGGCAGGTGGGTGTGTACCCAACGGCCCGGGCTGAGTCACTGCTGGCACCTCGGGTCTCTTCTTGTCCCTGTCCTGGGGACGTTCTGAGGGGGAGTGACAGGGAAGCCATTTGCAGAGGTGGGGACTGCACTTCACAGTTACACACACTGCCCCTCTACTGTGTCACGCTGTCCCCTGGAGGGAGCCAGGCCACACCTCGAGGAGTCACTGGTGGGGCTGACACAGCTGGGATTGGGAGCCTCATGCCTGCCCCAGCAGCATGGCTCAAAGGTGTGCGCCAGGGCTTCAGAATGGCCCTGCTGCCAGCTGCATTGGTTAAGAAACTACTGAACAGGGGCTGGAGAGATGGCGCAGTGGAATAAGCGCTTCCCTGGCAAGCGCAAGGGGCTGAGTTCAATCCCCAGTTCTGCCAAAAAAAGAAAAAAAGAAAAGAAAAAAGGAAACTACTGTGTCCCCAGGGTGACCTCCAGGTCCCCCTGAGGAGGAGAGCCTGCCCTCTCTTCAGCATCCAGGTGAGGAACTGGCTCAGAGAGGGCTGGATTCCCCGAAGGGCACGCTGCACCACGACCTGAGATTCCCTCCAGAGCCCATCTCCACCACCCTGGGGCCTCCTCCCTTTTGTATTTTTACATGTTTTAGTACTTGGCATTGAACCCAGAGCTTTCACATTGAGCTCCATCCCCAGACTCTATCCTTTTTGAGACAGTGTCTCACTATGTACCCCAGGCTGGCCTTGAATGTGCAGGGAGCCTCTTGCCTCAGCCTCCCGCCTGTCCCCGAGTGCTGATGCTGACCATGTGTTGCTGAGCCCCAAGCCATCTTTGTCCACAGTTTCAACCTCCTGGGGAGGTGGCCTTGCTGACCCAGGCTCTGCAGCATGGTTTGCATAGTGTGCAGACCATGTGCAAGAGGGCTGTGGTCCTGGGCTCAAGTCTGAGCTGCCACCAAAACTTTGTGCTTGTGGCCACACTGGTGCCCCTGAAATGTATTCTTCTCCAGCTCAGGGAGTATAAGTCCCTGGTGGACTTGCTCAGGGCCATAGAAGACACCCCCAGCACCCTTGGGCTGTGGGACCCAGGGACACCACCGTCCTGGGGTGCGCAAGTCCCTCAGCTAACAGTGTGGGATCCCTCTGCAGCCTTGCCACCCCAGCGGCTCCGACACTCACCCCCATCCCCACCGCACAGTGCCAGTGGCCCTGCCCTGCGAAGAAAATGTCCTTCTGCACACATCCACAAGTATGCAACTTTTAGTTTCAGTTTTTGGTTTTTGCAACAAGGTCTGGCTGTGTAATACAGGCTGGCCTCACTCTGGGAGATGCTCCTGCCCCAGCCTCCCAAGTGCTGGACGACAGGCACATGCCACTGCGTCCAGCCTCCTTGCGCTTCTTCAGAGACCGTTTTCCTTGCATGGTGGCTGAACCCCAGATCGGCAATGGTGGGTACCAAGTGCAAAATCATAGCCACCAAGGAGGGCTGGGTGGGCGTAGAGCGGGCCCCACTCTCTGCTGCGACGCTGGTCACTGGCTGGGTGATGAGGTCACAGACTGCTCCCCGCATGCAGGGGTCCAGGACTGAGGGGCTCGGCTGGGTGAAATCTCTAGCAGTACCCAGGGGCGAAGGGTGGGGGGGGCAGGTACTCCTCAGGGAGCCATTCTGACACCGTCGGCTCAGGTGGCTGGGCAGACAGCGTTCTCCTGAGCTTCTGGTGCCAGCCTCTGTTCCCTGGGGTCGCCTTGCTCCAGGTGGCAGGCCTGGTGGCCTTCCTGGAAGGAGTGTCACTTTCCCTCATGGATGTGGCCACATGAGGCTCCCTGGGGGCTCTTTGTCCCTGACTGTCTGCTGTGGTCCTAGAGAAGGGGGTCGGCGCTGACGGCCAGGCACCTGAGAGTGGCGTCAGGCTCATAGCGTCGAGGTGGCCTTTCAGCCGCTGCTGGACCCTCCTGCCCACTGCGGGCAGTGCTCTGAGATGCTGCCAAAGTTTCTGACTGGCCTGCTGCAGAGGCACCCTTGGGGGCCAGAGGGAGGTGACCTGCTCCACCGGTTTGGTCGCCTTCTCTGCAGACACTGCCTTGTCCTTCGGTGGATGCAGCTGGGCGGGTGCTGGAGGACCCTGAAGTGGAGGCAAGGGAGACCTGGGCAGGCGCCCCCCAGCCACCACCTGCCCTGTCCCTGGAGGCATGTGTGTGCCCTGTTTGCAGCAGGGACCACCCCGCAGCTGTCCCATCCATCGGTCCCATCCCACATGGTGGCACCATCTCCCAGTTTGGATTTGGCATGTGGACTTGTGTGGTGGCTGGAGGTGGCCCTGGGTGCTTTCAACCCCACCAGGTCAAGAAACCCAGATGGCCCACAGCGAAGGGCTGCAGAGGGAAAGCACTCAATTCTGTCTCAGATGCTGCCACCACAGGGGCTTTGTGACCTCAGTGTGAGCCGGCAGCACTGAGACAAAAGCAAGCGCAGGAGAAAGCGCAGACCTCAGGAGATGTCAGGAAGGACTGTGGCGGAGGCATGACGTCAGCCTGCATGGAGCCGCCCAGTGCCGGCACTGTCATAATTCCATGTGCTAGTTTCAACTCTAGTTAGTTAGTTGCACCCCCTGGAGACAGGACTTATGCCCCTCTGGCAAGCTGCACCCCTGGGAGATGGGACTCAGGCCCCTCCAGTGAGCTTCACCCCCTGGAGACGGGACTCAGGCCCATGTTGCTGGGGCTGGGGTGGTGCGCCCTTGATGGGGAAGCATGTGCCTTCCAGCAGGCAGGGGCTGTTTGCGGGGACCAGCCGGGAAGGCGGGGGCTGCAGAGGGAACACTGGAAGGCCCACTGGAAGTAGAAGCACAGTGTGGGAGCTCTGTAGCAGAGACAGCATGTGCAGAAGTGCTGAGGTCACTGCTGACCTGTGCCACAGCAGGGACGGCAGTGGCGGGGAGAGGCTGAGTGTGGTTTAGTGGTGACCTCAGACAGGAGGCTTTAAGCCCAGCGGGGGCCTAAGTCGCCCTCCAGGAGGAGCTCCTCCATTGATGGGGTCAGCCCCGCACCCCCTTGCCACATGGAGGTGCCATCCCTTGTACCTCTGGGCCCCAGCAGGGCCCCTGATGCTCCTCGGGGCCAGGCTCTGGGCTGGCAGTGTCCTGTGCCAGGATGGTGGCACAGAAGAGGAGATCCTCATAGTCCACAGTAGCAGGGTCCTTCTGTGTGGAGGAGATGCGACTCAGGTCCTGGAGCAGGGCTGAGGAACAGCGCCTTCTCCCGGGGGTCTCTAGGGATCCAGGACCCGGGCACCCACTTCCTTGGAAGGAAGCCCCCCTCCTGCAGCTCAGTCAAGGGGCCACCCATGGAGCACACTGCTTAGCGGGGATCCTCTGCCAGCAGGGTATCCCGGCCTGCAGCTCACCTGCCCGCAGCCCTGTGTGAGCAGCTGCCCGTGTGGCTGCAGTGGCCTGTGCTGGTGGAAGGCAACCAGGGCGCACAGCGAGGTGTGGGCCACGTCCTCCCCTCGCAGCACTAGGCGGCCATCGTCCAGCAGCGTCACCATGGCGTGGCAGCAGCGGTCCTGCACCCTGCAACATGCGGAGGGAAGAACCCACAGTTTCTCTGCCTTGGATTCCCTGCTAGAACTGGCCTTGCATTTCGGGGGAGGGCGCCAGAGCTCAGGCCCAGACGCGACAGCCAGGAAAGTTTTCTGGGCGGGGGGGGCCTCGCTGCGTGCTGGGCAGATGGACAGCAGGCGCGATGCTTGCTGGGCTCCTCCGTGAAAGCGAAAGCGGTTGGTGCCAGCCAGCTCTGCGTGTGCTCTCAGGCTCACGGAGCCCGCAGGGTCCCAGGTGGACGGTCAGCATCCTCTGTGGCTGGCTTGCCAGCACCGAGGAGGAGCCAGCCTGGGCCAAGGACTCCAGGCATTTGCGAAGCGGCCCTGCTCCACGGGGCATGCCCCAGCCTCACCTGTAGGACAGTGTGTAGCCCACGTGGCTGTGGCTGACGCGGACGAGGAAGGATCCTGGGGGCTTCAGCTCCAGCAAGGTCTCGGCGTCCCTGGAAAGGCAGCCCGGTGAGGAGGACGCTGCCTTGCCCTGGCGCTGCTGAGGGCTGGTGAGCCCGGGCCGAGGCTGGGAGGCCATTCCTCCCAATGCTATCCTTTTTCTTTTTTTGTACCAGGAATCAAGCTCAGGACCTCGTGCTTGCCAGGTTCAATTCTACACGGACAACAATCTAAAGCCAGTTGTTCTTGATTGTGCAATCTCAGGACTTTTGGGGACAGTAATGGGCCTCCGCTGTGGCAGTCAAGTGCCTTGGGTTCCAAACTGCACCTGAAGCTCCTCCACTGTGTGACCCCAGGAGGGCGTGTCCCTTTCCCATCCACAGCCTCCTCCAGGGGAGGTCACATTCTTTCCTGGGGGACCTGCCATCTCCAGGTGCTCCTCAAAGGAAGTGGTTATTATCACTTTCATTTTTGGGGGTGGTGTTGGTATGAATCCCAGAAACCACTCTGAGCCACATTCCTTAGCCCTTTTTCACATTGTTTTTTTTTGAACTGGGGACTGAACTCAGGCCCTTGCGCTTGCCAGGCGAGTGCTTATTCTACTGAGCCATCTCCCCAGCCCCCTACTGAGCCATCTCCCCAGCCCCCCACGTTCTGTTTTGAGACAGGAACTCACTAAGTTGTCACTTGGCTCAGGCTGGACTTGAACCTGGGATCCTGCTGCCTCTGCCTCCCACGGAGCTGGTTATAGGCTCACTCTCATGTCTGGGCCTCCTACTCCTTAGCAGAGCTACTGGGCGATTTACAATGGCAATATGTGGCCCATGTCCTATTTCAACTGCATGGAACGGGTCCAGAGCTCTGAAACTGTGTCCAGTGTCCCTCTGCTGGCCTCGATGGCACTCTTTCAGGCCCTTGCATGCAGAATGTGGTGAAAACCTGTATTTCCTGCTTGGCCTGGTGATGCGCACCTGTAAGCCTAGCTGTTCTGGAGGCTGAGGCAGGAGGACTTGCCAATTTAATACCAGCCTAGGCATCTTAGTAAGATTCTGTCTTTTTTTTTTTTTTAAATCTTTTTTATTTATTTATTTATTTATTTGTGTGTTTATTTATTTATTTTTGTGTGTGTGTGGCCAGCTCAGCCCACCTGGAGGCGGGGTTGGCTGGCATGTGGTGCTGGGGGATTGAACCGCGGTCCCTGCGCTTTGCTGAGCTTGTTCTAAGTAGGTGCTTTAGACCACTGAGCCATCTCACCAGCCCAAGATTCTGTCTTGCAATTAAAAAAGTCCAAAGGGCTGTGGTACTGCTCTGTGGTGGATGCCTGCTTGGCACATGAGGCCCTGGTTCTGGGCCGGACGGCAAGGAAAAGGCATACAAAGAGCTCCTGCGAGGGAAGTAACTTAGCTTGAGGCCGCACAGCAGCACATAGAGGAGGAAGTCCGAGCTGCTGCACTCTGACTGAACTCTGTGTGTGTGTGTGTGTGTATGTGTGCATGATCCTCACCCTCGGGAGATGGCGCCGTGGAACCACTCAGGGATGCCATCCTGGGCCAGCTGGCCCATCTGGGTGTGCACGAACCAGTCCAGGCGAGGGGGCAGTGGCGGGGGCAACATCTTATTTCCTGCCATAGCCTGCAGGCCTGAGGGCACCTGTGGGGAAGAGGACCAGAAGGCTTGGCCTGGAGCCTGCATCAGCCTCTTCTGTGCAGCCCTGGGCCTCAGCACCCAGCTAGGACCGCAAAGCTGTTGTTTTTTATTTTGAGGTCAGGTATCACTAGGTCACCATGTTCCTGGGATGAGCTGGAGCTGGCATCTGCCTGCCTTGGTCTCCCAGAGTGCTAGGAGTGGGGCATGGCCAGAACACCAGCTTCCTAAGCAGTCTCCAGCCCCAGCTCAGGTTTGGCTGGCGCCAGGAGGCTGCACTGATATGAACAGCACTGAGATGGTGCCAATCCAGCCATGAGGTGGTGGCCTGGGACCCAGCCTGTGCCCTGTGCTGGCCCTGTCTAGCTGTATTTCTCTGGGACTTTGTGACAGGGTGTCCCATGGGGGACACAGTGGTGAGCGGCAGACAAGGCAGGCTTTCTGTTGCCCGTGGAGTAGCAGGCCTGAGGCCTGGATGCAGGACTGCTGGCTATGTCCGAGACAGGTTGGGGCCGGTCCGCACACACAGCCAGTGCTGTCTCTGAGTTCAGATCCGCCGTTTGGATCTCCAGCTGCAGTTGGGGAGTGCCATCTCCCGGAAGGGGTGCTGTTTTCATTTTTTGGCACTGGGTGCTGGGGTGAACCCTGGGCCTCCAGCAGGGGACCATCAGTCATCACAGAGCTGCACCCAGCACCGAGGGCTATTGATCCAGGTGTAGTTGCCACAGGTTAGGGCAGCAATGCCCAAGGCAGGCCCAGAGCCACACCGTGACAGGCTGGCCTACCTCAGCACATGCCAGTGCCTGCCACCACATTGGCATGGTGATAGCTGCCTAGTGACATTTCTCAGACTGCATTCCTATCACCCAACATCACACCTTCCTATATTGTTGTCTGTACAGTTTACTGGAACCCTAGTCATAACTGCCTCAGGATCATGTTTCCAAGCTTACCTACGCTCCCGTCTTCCATCTTGGAAAACTCGTAAGGATCCTTCAAGACCCAGCACAAATGTCTCCTCCCCCAGGCAGCCTCCCTGCCTCTCCCCAGACAAAGCTCTGATACTTCCTCCTCCTTCATTGTCACCACAGTTGGCCCAGCCATGGTCTTATGGAAATGGGGTGTCCTATCTGCTGTTTCCACTGGTGGGAAGGGGCTTGATGGGCCCGGGGTCCCCACCCTGATTTCAAGTTCCTAGGGCTGGTTGTTCATGGAGGAAGAGGACAGGGTGGGTAACCAGTGATGGTTAACTAGTAATAAGTAACTAGATGGATAACTCAGGATAACTAGCAATAAGTAACTAGTGATTCATAACTAGTGATGGGTAACTAGCAATGGTAAGTAGTGATGGGCAAATAGTAATTAGTAACTAGTGCTGGGTCACTAGCAATGGGTAATTGCTAGCTAGTAATTAGTAATTGGTAAGTAGTGGCAGGCAACTAGTAGAGGCAACAGTGGGTAACTTGCAAGGGTAAATAGCAATGGTAACTAGTAATAGATGACTAGTAACCAGGAACTCCTTACGTGTGACTAGTGGTGGGTAACTGGTAACTGAACTTGTGGTAGGTACTTTGCAGTGGGGCACTAGCAGTAGCTAACTAACTAGTAGCTGGTAACTAGTGATAGGTAGTTAGCAGCAGGTCACCAGTGGTGGGTAACTACCAGGCCTGGCCCGGCCCAGCCCTCCTCCTTTGCCCTCCCCGTGTCCCCAGTAGGACCTCCATTTCCTTCTAGGTCCTACTTTTAGACTTTAACTCCCCGTGGTGCCCTCAGGAACCCAGGCTCTCACTAGCTGTGCAGACACTGCCTGCCAAGCCTGCCCGCCCCGTCGTCTCTCCCAGACCCCCTGCTCCCGCCTGGCCCTACCTGCTTCTGCTGCCAGACTGTACCGCTGGGGGGACACGTCCTGTCCCAGGGCCCAGGTGGCTGGGTGCTGGCTGTGCTGCGGTAGCCAAGTTTCGGTTCAGGGTCTGCGTGTCACCATTATGGGTGGTGCTGCCCCAGCTGTTCCTGTTTCTTCGAATGTGAGCAATGACACCATGACACCAAGTCCCTGCCTGCACTGAGGGCCCAGTCAGGCTTGCAGTCCCATGTTCATGTCCATCGGTGATGAGAGGGCCAAGAAGTCACCAAAGTCGCCTTTGCCATGTGGCTGCCGGCTGGGAGGCATGGCCATCCTGAGATGTCCTAAATGACAGAGGCTACTTCCACCAGCTCCCGTCACTGAGGCCAGCAATTGAGGCCGCTCCCAGGCAGGTCTCTGGTTGGTCCTCGTTTCTTTCCCACTCTAAAGCAGAGGAAGGCAGGTACCTGCTCTGGGCCCCTTTGGAATAGGCGGTGCTCCTCCCAGGCCCAGCAGCTAGCAGCTTCCTGCCCAGGCCCCGCCCCGCCGGGCACAGGCACAGGGGCTCCTTGCCCTGGGGGAGGGACCAGCACCCAGGGATCCTAGCAAGGGACACATGAATTCAGCCGGGGCCTCACTGGAGTGGCTTGGTGTCTCAGCATCAGTTTCCCCACTCACAGCTTGGGCACAACAGCACCCTCCTTTGTCACCTGAGCTGTTAGGGAGTATGTACCAGGTGGCAGGCCTGTGACCCCAGCACTCTGGGAGGCTGAGGCAGGAGTGTCGCTGAGTTTCAGCAATTCAGCGAGATGGCCTTAAATAAAAATGAAAAAGGCTGAGATGCAGTTCGAAGTGAAGGCCCCTGACCTATTGAGGAAGAGACAAGCAGGGCAGGTGCCCAGCGCAGCACTGCCTGCTCTTATGCGGCCTAAATGGGGCTCTGGCTTCAGTGAGACCTCGTGGGTGCAGGCGTTCTTGTCACAGTGCTGTGTGCTCCTGACGGCAGGAATGGCCAGGACCTGTCACTTGAGGTGGCTGCCGCAGGACTCTTTCATGTCCTGGGAACTCGGAGGTGGAGTCCTCCCTCACTCAGGTTTCCTCTCAGAAGGGCATGACACTCACTGACCCACACAGACCGCAGTCACAGGAAGGAAGCAAGTGTGTGCATGTGCGCATGTGCGTGGTGGCAGTGGCGGGCAATGGGGTGGGGTGGGGGGGGCACTGATAGGGCCAGGCCGGCTTCCTCTGGAGGAGCACTGTGGCGCCCGTGGGCCCTTAGGGACAGTTCTGGGCACTGTGGGCGGAGCTGCCACGTAAGGGGAGGCATTGGGGGCACCACTGCTAATCTGTGCAGCCCTTGAGGGTCTCCAATCTGTGACAAGTTGAAGACAGTGGCCCTGACCCATATACCACCGCAGGCCCCTTGTCTTTCACAGCTATTACCTCGCAGCACGACGCAGGGACCAACTCCCAGACACGGCTGTCCCCAGGTCACAGCACCACACAGTGGCATTTTTCAGACAAGACAGGGTCTGGCTGTGTAGTCTAGGCTGGCCTTAAACTTCTGGAATCCTCCTGCCTCAGATGCCTGAGTACTGAAACCACAGGCTTCAGGGCAGTTCTGATTTGCGATGCTTTGGGGCAATCTAGGGCGGTCACTAGGCCCAGAGCGGGTGTCATGGTAGTGGGGCTGGAAGCCCTCTGGACCACTTCCTTGCAGGCGATGAGACCCGAGAGGGCAGGTTGTGCTGCTGCTCAAGGTGACAAGGGAGGTGGCATTGACACCAGTCCAGTGTGGCTGTTGCTTGCTGTCCTTCCCCTGGGAGCTGACTGTCCCTTGCTCTTGCCTGGGGACCCCGGGCACTGGGCAGTGTACAGGCAGCACCGCCACCGCAGCATGCTGAGCTGGTGCAGCGCCTGGGGCCTTGGCGTCCACCTGCACTGTGGGACCGCCTGGCCCTCAATCTTTTGCCTCGTGCTGCAAGTCAGAGAAACCCATTTTTCTTTTCTCTCTCTCTCTCTCTCTCTCTCTCTCTCTCTCTCTCTCTCTCTCTCTCTCTCGGGACTCATGACACAGCCCAGGCTGGCCTTGAACTCAGTGGTCCTCCTGAGTGTCAGGATCGTCCCGTTCTTTGTAGCTGTCCCGCTCGAGGGGGTTTCATTCTGTTTTCATTCTGTTTGTTAGAACAAGGCATACACTGGATGGCTGCATGTTGTTCTGGGACCAGGATGCTTGGCTTGGCCTCCTGGGTGCTGAGCTACGTGGGGGCAGCTCCCCATGGGGTGCAGCTGGGCCCCTGGCAGGGCTGAGATGACAGCAACCACTCCACTCTTTCCTTTGACATGCTGGGGTGGGACAGGGCCACATGCTGTGCTCTATCTAGGCCAGCCCCTCCCCTCCTTTTTTTTTTTTTTATTATGCTCAGGCACACAAAGGACAGCTGCAGGGTTTGGCTTAATCGCTGAGGGTGGGCTAGAGACCTTCCTGCCTCAGCCTCCCAAGTGCCGGGATTACAGGCACACACCATACCCGTGTTTTTTTGGACCCAGGGTCTCACTATGCTGGCCAGGCTGGCCCTGCACTACCAGCATGAACAGTCCTGTGGCTCTCCCCTTAGCTGCACACCAGCATGCCTGGCTTTCACTGCCCCCTGCGGAGACTTACGACAGAACCCAGGGCTGTCAGCCCCACTTGCAGCCCCAGGCCCTCTCTACAACCCTCACAGGGTCTCAGCATGCTGCTAAGTGTTCAGGCTGCGTTCACACCCGTGCCCCTCCTGACCCAGCTTCAGCACAGCTGGGATTCAGCCAGGTGCCACTGTCGGGCAGGAAAAGGTACTCGATGTTTTTGAGACAGGCTCTCCCTCAGTAGCCTACGATGGCTTTGAGCCTTTGGGGATCCTCCCGGTTCAGCCTCCCAAGTGCTAGGCTGACAGGTGTGCAGCCACCGCCCCACACTGGGACCCCTGCCTCGGGGCAGGACACGGACATCAGATATGTGAACTTGGAAATGAGCTTTAATCCTTTGCTCTCTGTAGATGTAGGTCTGGGCGTAGACGGATGGATTAGGTAGAGGGCAGACTATGGCTGGGGTCAGTTTCAATTGGGTGTGGGGCACTGGGACACAAGGACTCAGGCTGACAGTTGCTGGAGTGGGGCAAAAGTGACAGAGTGGACACCGGGCACTCAGGTCCCAGGCTGGATCGCAGGTGTGCTGTCGGCCCCCAGCCTCGGAGACCAGGACAGTGGAATGGACTGTTGGTGCCTGTGTCAGGCAGGGGGGTGTGCCCAGTCACCTGGCTCTGCCACTGGGTTGACGTGGGGTTGGTGTTGCTTGCTGGCACTAGGACTCTGGAAAAATAAAATCTCAGCTAGAAAGAAGGTCCCATTTGGAGGCGTGGGGGACAGGGCCCGATCCAGGGCGGCCTGCGCGTGGCGGGCTGGCATTCCCGTGGGGCCCTGAGGGGCCAGCGAGGGCCCTGTCCTGTCCTTGGAACCGCGGTGCGCGGATGTCTTTTATTTGTGCTTCCCTTTGGTTTAACAGTTAAGGAGAGGGGAGAGGAATGTTTTCTGTCATTTGTCCAAAACTGAGAGTTGGCGACGGCAGGTGCCAGATTTGCCAGGCGATGCCTCCCGGGCCCAGAGGCTGGTGGCCACCAGGGACAGGCTTCCGTGGACACTCATGTGCTGCGGGAGATGGAGACACAGGCTGCCAGGGGCTGCTGCCGCTGTCGCCCTCGACCTTGGCGTGCTCTGCCCACGTGATGCCATTCTGGGGGCTGGCGTGGCGATGTTATAGGAAAAATAGCAGATTCTCAACTCTCCATCTCCCAGTTGAAAAAGATCAGACAGTTACTAAAATAAATGATTTCTCAGTGGAGGTCTGGCGGCAGGGTGCCGTGGCCACGTGGCACTCGAGGGTCCCGCTGGGCACAGGCCCGGGACAGGCACAGTCAGCTGGGCGAGCCAGGCGCGGCACTCACAGGAGGACACAGCGGAAGAAGCTGCTCCGCTTCTGCTGGTCTGGCGTGATCTTCACCCCCTGGCTGCTGCCCTGCAGGCTGCTGCCTTCCTGTAGTCACAGGGGATTTTCTTGGGTCACCACAGAGCAGTACAGACCACATGACCACCCGGCCAGCCAGCCGCCCGCTCCCCCGCCCACCCACCGATCCATCCTCTCCCGGTTGGTCGGTCAGTCGGCTGTAGCTCAGCCCCACCTCTCCAGCTGCCTGCTCAGCCCTTCATCCCTTCACTCTTTCTGTCTCCCAGCTACTCCTTCCACCCCTCATTCTCTTCCAACCAGCGACCCTCCCTTTCTCGCCCACCCGCCCAGTACCCGCTCACCCACCTGCCCGTTCTGTGCCCATCTGTGCACCCTCCCCTGCCAACCAACCACCCCAACCCACAACTCATCCTCCACAAATCCACTGACCCATTTTCCACCCACTTGCCACAGGCTTTCCCTCCAGTCATGTGTTCAAGCCCGGTGCCACCCCAAGCCCCCAGGGCCCTGCCCCCAACCTACCCGCCCAGGTGGCCTCTCCCATGGGGCCAGTGGCAGGCAGAGGCCATGTCCCATCACCAGTTCTCCCCCCGTGCATCTGTATTCCACCCTGGCTCTGCCTTGGCCCCCATGATTGGAGATCCTAACTCAATGCTGTCTGTGCTGGCACCTTGGGCCTGCATGTGGGCAACATGCGTAACAGCGAGTGGAGAGGGCTTCCCAGAGACCCGGGGAGCCCTCCATCACACCACAGACTCAAGCTGTGGGACATTACTGATGGCTATGCTTAAGAGGCTGGCAGTGCAGGAGCACACATCTGTCATCCCTGCACTCAGGGAGGTTGAGGCAGGAGGATCCCAAGTTCAAGCCTGCCCCAGGCCACTTAGCAACCTGGGGAGATCATTTCAAAACAAAAAACGTTTACAAAAAGTGCTGGGGATGGAGCTCAGTACCATGGTGTTGGGTTCAGTCCCTACACTAGAGAAAGACAAAAATGGATGACACACAGAAGTTATCGGTGGTTGCGCGTCGGGCCGAGGCCACGAGGTGCCCGGACCCATCTCCTAGGCTTCGTGGTGGAGATGAAGCTATCTTGCCGCACACTCTGGTCTGTGCGTCACAGAGCCCGCACAATGGAAATGCCCCCAAGGTTGTGTATTAATGCTTGTGGAGGTTTTGTGTTTAGAATCAGGGTCTTGCTATGGAGCCCAGAGTGCCCTGGAGGTCTCAGAGATCGTCTACCTCGGCCTCCTGCGGGCTGGGATGTCAGCTGTGCCTCCATGCCAGGCTGTCAGTGGTTCTCTGGAGCTGGGCTTTGAGAGGTGATGGGACAGACAAAGTCAGGGCTGCCGCATGCCACGCTGCCCTCACTCTGATGCGAGCTGAATTGGCCTGTCCCACACCACTAGCCCTGCCCCAGTGCTGTTAGAGCACAGTGCGGCCTGCACGCCTTCCCACAGGCAAGGGTCATCCTGGGCCCCATCTGCACCCACAGATCTGCTCCTCATGGGGCGTCCTGCCACTTCTGCCATGTTGAGGGCACCAGCTTGGCCGTGCTGTGCAGAGACCAGACAGACTCATACTCACCAACTTTTTGTCCATTTTTGCTTTGATGTCTCTGGCAAGGGTAAAAAATGCCTGTGGGAACAGCACAGTGTCATGGCACTCGCTTGGCAGCAGCCGGGAATGGGGTCAGGGTCAGGCAGTGTCCTGTGTGTGGGCCCACCCAGACCCCCACTGTGTGCCTCTCATGCCAGCAGTCCTGGCAGGGGACCCAGAAGGCACGGGCAGCCTGGGGATCTCATGTAAGGGCACCGCAGCCAACAGGTGTATTGCCAGCTCTGTCCCTGGCCAACCGCATCCCACCTGCCCTGGGCGGGGTGGGCAGTGACCCCAGCGCAGCCGCTCTGGGCTGCTGTTCCGCGGTTGCATCCCAGGCAGGGCTGCGTGGATCTGGTGCTATGCGAGGTCAGCTCCCGGCACTGCAGGACCCACAGGGGAGCCGGGGCTGGCTGGGAGAGGCAGTACCAGGGGCCGAGGGGCCAGGGCTGCTGCAGCGTCACAGGGGACAGGGTGACCCTGGATGTTTGAGCCTCAGTTTCTCCACCCGCCAAGCCACCCCACGGGAGCTGCTGGCTGGACTCACATTCTCCACATTGATGTTGGCCTTGGCGCTGGTCTCCATGAACTTGATCCCGTAGTCAAGAGCCAGCTGCGAGGGGACACAGGGTGTGTGGTGAGCTGCTGGGCTAGGACCTGTGCTCCCTGCGCAGTGGGTGGCAGGCAGGGCCAGCTCAGGGCCAGGGCCTCAAGAAGCCCACAGTGAGGCCCACGGCTCCCTCGTCTCTTGATGGAAGCAGGACAGAGAGGACACATCCAGGCACTATCTGCCCACGACCAGGAAAGCACGGAAGCCCAGCCTCTAGCCCGCGCCCTGCCCACCTTCTCGCCACGCTCTCTGGACACTTGTCTCTTGTCGTTCACGTCGCACTTATTGCCCAGGATCATCTTCTCCACGTCAGCCGAGGCGTGCTACCAGGGAGGCACCGGATCACCATTGGCCGAGCTCCGCGGGGTGCCAGCTGTGGGCTGATGCGTCCCCGAGGCGCCCTGCACTGCCTCAGCCCAGTTCTCAGATCCCACAACACGTTCCCCACCCACACTTGTTACCAGAACCCTCACCCAGCTAGGGCAGCGCCCTACCGCTGCTGCCACTCACAGGTGACTCGGGAGGGCTCACCAGAGCATAGATGCTGTGTCTAGGAGGCTGGGGTGATGCCAGCATTTTGGGGTACAAGAGGTGGAACCAGCTGCCCTGCTGTTGCCCCATGGCAGCTCCTGTTGGCCCTGCCTGGCCTGCTGAGCTCAAAGTTCAGGAGGTGCCCCACTCCCAAGGGCCATGCTGCTTCCAGAACTTTCTTAGCAGAGCCTCTTCTGTCCTGGGGCTCTGGGCCCTGTGCCTACTGTGTCCCTGTGCCCTGCGCTGGTGCCTGAGGACAGGAAGCCGAGGTGCAGGGCAGCCTCACCTCCTCGATGTTCCGGATCCAGTTTCGGATGTTGTCAAAGGACTTCTCGTTGGTGATGTCGTAGACCAGCATGATGCCCTGTGCAGGGCAAGGACAGGCTTGAGGTGGGCCGCAGCTCCTGAGCATGCAGGAGGACCACAGCCCTTACATGCCCCCTGCCTGCCACGCAGTGCTGGGTCTGCAGTTATGCAAGACTGTGAGGAGCTGATAGGGCCCATGCTGGGACCTGTTCCCAGAGCCACATGCACTCTGCCCCCTGGAGCAGGGGTGCTTGGGAGTCCCTGACACACGTGGAGAGCAGGGGGGCAAGTCCCTGGGTCCCCAGAACACTGTGGTCTGCCTTGGTTTGTGCCACGGGCTCTCTACAGCCACCGAGAAGGGCATGGATCTCTACATACTACAGGGGAACTGAGGCACAGTTAGTTGTACCCTGACCCTAAAGCTGCTGTGGCTATCAGGAGCCCCACGTCAGTACCACAGGACACGTGCAGCCACCCAGGGTGACATGGGGCAAACTGTGGCTCCCCCAGGAGCAGGGTTGGGGGGGCTGCTCCTGACCCCTCCCAGGGATGAGGGACTACCTGGGAACTGGGGAGCAGAACACCCTTGGGCAGCAGGTGAACAGAATCTGCCTTCTGGTTCCCGGCCGGGGACACTGCCCCAGTGATGGTGCCAAAGCCGGGGGTCACCAGCCATACCAGCTGTGGCTGGGGCACCTGAACGTCCTGGCCTGATGGCCGGCTGGATTCTCAACTTCTTTTGAGATAGCAGGGCTGGACTCGGGGAACCCTAAGCTGTACCCCCTGCATTTTATGTGCTGAAACAAGATCTCAATAAATTGCCTTGGCTGGCCTTTAGATGCCAGCCTCCTGCCTCGGCCTCTTGAGTTGCTAGGATGACAGGCTGTGCCACCAAACCCAGTGAAAATTTCTATTGATTTAAAGTGGAAAAGCCTCATGGGGCAGGGACCACTGCCCTGCCAGCATCGGCCCGGGAGGGGGCAGCCATGGTCACCTTGGCACTGGCAGAGGACATGGGCATGGGGGCTGGAGCCTCAGTACCACTGGGTGGAGCAAGTCTGAGCCCTAGCTCTGGCCAGGAAGGGGGGCACTGTGACAGGAGGTCTCAGCCAGGGGCACAGAAACAATCTAAGGAAGGCTGCGGGGCAGGACAGGAGGGCGGGGCCCACCAGAGGCAGCAGTCCACCCTTCGTCAGACTTCTCCACTGACCACTGACGGGGCATGGCTGGGGAAGGGCAGAACAGTGGATTAATTGTAACCAGGCACTTAGGTTGCAATCTGCGCAGCTGGGGTCCTGTTGTGCTCCCCACAATACTTAATGGCTCCACTCAGCGCCTCCCATGCCAGGCAGGAGTAGGGCTGGAGGAAATGGTGGAGGGGTGGGGGCTCTGCACTTAGGTCATGGGGCGCGCTGAGCTGCACAGTGCTGGGAATTGGGCCGGTGACCACTCCCAGGTAGGCGGGTGGTGCAGCAAAGACTCTGGGAGGCTGAAGCAGGACGATGCACATTTGAGCACAGGTGGGTGAGACACCATCTCAAAATAAAATAAAAAGGGTTGCTGATGGAGCTGGCTCAGCATAAGACCCTGCAGTATGTCCCAGGACAGGGCTGTGAGACCACCTAGTCCCCAGCCAGTGAGGTGGGCCAGAAGGGTCACCTGTGTGCAAGGGCCCTAAACACACCTGGGACAGCGCTGTCCCCTCCCTAGCGGCCACCTGTACCTTGCTCCACCCAGCCCAGAGGTGCTGGGGAGATCACCGTTGGGTGACTCATGGTCTTCCCTCATGGTTCCGCTGTAGACCTGGGCAAGGATGCCTCCCATGGGCTGAGCTCCAGGGCGTGACTGCACAGGCCTGAGGCGCCAGTGAGGCCTGGCTGCTCCAGCCTGCTTTGGGCCCACCTCGTGTTCACTCGACACGTCGCCAAAGCCGGAGATGTGCGGATGGGCAGTGTCCCTAGCCTCAAGGACGAGAACAAGCATGCGTACCATGGCGCCCCTGTAGTAGGCCGTCGTGATCGTCCGAAACCGCTCTTGCCCAGCAGTGTCCCTGAATGTGAGGAGGATGGGTTAATACCTTAGCCATCCCCAGGTTCCATGGTGAGTCCCCTTCCCGCCATGAACCGGAGAAGGAACTGGGCTTGAGGGGTCACAGCGGGGGTGCGGCAGGGCCTAGCTCTCTCTGGGATGAGCTGGGCATGCTGGGAGTGCTGAGGGGGCTGGGGGCACTTTCCAGCTCACAGTCCTGGCTTGGGGACAAGAAGGACCTTCCTTGCCTATCTGATGGGATGGGGACCTATAGTCCCAGGAGGGGACATGTGGGGAGACAAACCACACCCAGCCCAGGGCCTAGCAGGGAGGACTTGAGATTCGCCTGCCTCAGCCTCCCAAGTGGCTGGACTGACAGGCATGCCCCACAGTGCCCTGCCACCACTCTGGGGATGTCAAGGAAGGGCGACAAGAAGAAAATCAAGGGGCAGCTGGGATGTGCTGGATGTGCCTTCTGCTCACCACAGAGCCACACCCCTGCAGTACCTGCCTCCTCTCCCTGCTGACTGCCCCGCCTACACCCACAGCAGGCGACACCCGGGCACATGGCATGGTATTCTCAGCTCAGTCCTGGTCTCAGGACTGCTAAGAACAGAGGCGGGAAGGGACAGTGCCACTTCTGCTGGCCAGGACAAGTCACGTGCACAAGACATACGGTTCACGGGATGGCCACCTTGCTAGGAGTGACTTCCGCAGCGTGACTCACCAGGTGGCAGAGCCTGGTTCACTGCCACGTTCAGTACGATGTAAAAACCATTTCTTTTACAGTGCTGGGATGGAACCCAGGGAATCACGTGTGCTAGGCAAGCACTCCACCACTGACCTACAGTCCCAGACTCTTCTGCTGTTCTATCTTCTGCTTTGAGGCAGGGTCTCCCTATACTGTTCAGGCTGGCTTTAAACCTGTCATCTTCCTGCCTCTGCCTCCCAAGTGGCTGGAATGACAGGGGTGTGCGACCACACCCAGCTATAGCTATGTGGGACTGACCGGGTGGACTTAGGACAGATTGAGGTCAGACTTAGGGATAGGCGGGGGCCTGTAGCCCATACCCCTTGGCCAAAGCCCAGGCTGGGGACGGATGCTCAGCCCTGCAGCCAGGAAGGGTGCACAGGTCTGACAGTGCAGGAAGTGTGGCTTCCCAGGGAGAAAAGAGGAAGTGACATCAGGGAAAGCAAGTCCACCCAGGGCATCCTGGTGTCCCCGCAATGCACACGGCTCCACATGCCACGCTCACGCCTGCAGCTGCTCTGTGCTGGGATCTGTGTGGTCCACACCGGCACCATGCGGAGCTAACAGGCATGGTGCGTCCCTGGGCAACTGTGACGGGTCAGGGCTGGGACACCAGACAGAGGAGCCACCACCCAGGAGGGGCCAGGCCGGGCCTGACGCACTGGCCAGGGGAGGGCAGCAGACAGCAGCCACTCACCAAATCTGGAGCTTGATCCGCTTGCCATCGAGCTCTATGGTCCTAATTTTGAAGTCAATTCCTTAAAGGAAAAAAAAAAAAAGTCACTGTCCCCGCATGTCCCATGCCGCAACTGAGCAGACACCAGCCACCCTGGTGCCCAGAGTTCCCAGGCCTGCATCACAGAAGACGCCCGGCAAGGTCGAAGCACTTGGCCTCTCTTCTCACAGCCAGGCAGAGGCTGGTCTGCGCTTCCCACAACCTGCACACAGGACTGGTGCCCACAATGCACTGGGCACACAGGCCACGCCTTCTCCAGCTGGGCTCCAGCACACCCATACTCCCCACAGCTGCTCTGTGCTCTACCTGCCCATGAGCAGCTGGCTCCAAGGTCAGCTCCTCAGAGCCTCCCTGACTCATCACACTCTTTCTGCCCTGCCCTGCGGCTTTACCCTACCTGGCCCAGGTGACCTTGAAGCTCTCCCCCATCCCACGACTCCCCCACAGCCCCTCCAGTCTCCACAAACATAACTAGTTAATCCAGTGCATGCCCTGGAATACCATGCAGCCTTTAAAAAGGAGCAGAACTCTGAGAAGCAGCCAGACCCAGGACTCCAGTGGAAATGCCCAGGGCAGGAGGCCAGACAGGAGCGAATGCAAAGAGATGCAGAGTGGGGTGGGCTGATGCCCAGGGTGGGGGCAGGAGGGACTGTGTGAGTGCCACATAATTCTGTGACTACGCTAAAAGCCTCCGGACTGTGTACTTTAAACAGGGAATCATATGTTATGTGAATGCTGTCTATAGTTATTTAAAAATAAAGGGGCCGGGGAGATGGCTCAGTGGAATAAGTGCTTCCCTGGCAAGTGCAAGGCTCTGAGTTCAATCCCCCGTTCCGCCAAAAAAAAAAAAAAAAAAAAAAGGCCAACACCTTCTTGGCAGCCGCTTTCTCTGAACAGAGAGAGCTGCCCTGTGCCCTGCATGCTGGCCCTGCTGCCCAGGCAGCTGCGTCCTCCTCTTCCTGCCCCTGGAGTCTTTCCTTCCATGGCCACCTGCACCCGCCTGGCCCTGCTCTGGTCACCTTCCCAGGGCTTTCCGGCCCTTACCCTGACGCTGTACACAGCTACTCCTTGGTAGACACAGGATGGCTCTAGGACCTCCCAAAGCCACCCCAGTGTGCACACGCTGGAGTTTCTTCCACAAAGCAGGGTAGGCTCTGCCCTCAGGGTTGCTTTGAACATTCAGTGCAACCAATGAGCTCCACCATTATCGTCACAAGGCACTACTTAGAAGGGAATGACAAAAAATGTCTGCGCTCAGCAGAGAAGAAACTTTAAGACAGTAAAGCGGGTGAGCTCAGGAGGCTGAGGCAGGAGGATTGCTGTGAGTTCAAGATCAGCCTGGGCTAAGGAATGAGCTCAAGGCCAGCCTGAGCTTCACAGTGAGACCCTGTCTCAAAAAGACACATGCGTGCGCGCGCATACACACACACACACACACACACACACACAAAGTGGGCCTACAGTTGGTTGAGCTCACAGATGCAGGGCTCACAGACACAAACACAGCCAACAGAAACCTGAGGAGTTGACACCCCGTGGACCTGGGGGTAAAAGGTGCTTCAAGGGAGGTGGCCACGCCTGGCCCCTGCCCTGACCCTGGCCCCGCCCTTCTGCATAATTTGGTCTGCAGCAACCTCCAGAGCTGTCCTGGGGACTAGCAGGGACACACCCACAACACAGTCTATGGGAGGCGGGGAGGCAGGGCCTTCATGTGACACTGTTAGCGGCCAAGCCCACAGGGCAGAGGTGGATCTGCTAGGAGCTGAGCCTGCGCCCTGCATGAACCTCCTTCAGCCCTTGAGACTCCATGCTTTCCTGTCATTTAGTCATCCCTATGGCCACCACACCCATAGTGACAGAGGGCTTACAGCCAGGTTGGTGGGAGACACCTACGTGAAAGGACATTCAGCAATTGATCTCTGCAGCGCTGTTTGCATGAGGAAGGACTGTGTTACCCAAGCAAGGAAGAGGGCCCCTGAAGAGGCAGGGGTACCGTGCCAGGCCGGGGAACTGATTCCAAAGAGCCACAGGACCAAGTTCACACCCTGAACGTCAAGGAGTGAAGGGAATGCACTCCGGCAAGACACAGCCAGGGCAGCAAGTGAACAGCCAGTCATCGATCGATAACGGAAACAGCGCATAGGCCCCCGTGTGCATCTCAGGGCTGAAAGCCCAGAGCAGACTCCTGAACCCCAGCACCCTGTGCCACACTCTGAAGCCCGCCCACCAGCCGTCCCCAGCATCACTCTTCTCACCTCCTCCTGGGTTTTCCGAACACACCAGGTTTAACACACCTTATGAGGCCCAAGAATTATGAGGCTATAACTTCAAGGACAAGGCAAATTAAACTTCCTTAGAAGCTGGAGGGCAGCAGGGACGCTGTACGAGGAAGAGAAGAATGCTGGGCTGGAAAGAGGGGGCCTGGGTTCAAGTGCTGCCTCACCTGCCCACGTGACCTCTGCCAAGTCACCTGATGGGCCCTGGCCTGCCTGGAGCCTGGAAGTGGGGCAGTGGGCTTTCTGGTCAAGAGATGCAAAGCAAACCAAAGCCAGTCCCTGAATTGATCTCACTGGTGTCCACTGCAGGGAAGCATCAGCGGGTGAGGTCTGCGCTGACAGTGAACCACAGCTCTCTAGGAGCTGAGCCCACTTCCTGGCCAGTGGGGACTCCAAGGCCCTCCTGAAGTCCGACTTTTGGGATGCTGTGCCTGCTAGTGAGATGCTGTGTTTGGCACAGGCATACAGAGCTGCTCCTGCTCTGAAGAAACAGGGTTCAGAGAGGGGTAGTGCTGGCACAAGGGCGAACAGCAACCAGAAAACCAGTCTTGATGAATTCCATCCCTCGACTTTACACAGTGTGTGTGGTTGTCTCACCAAGGACAGGTCTCAAAACAGGGCAAAGAGGAATTCACACATGGGGCGGCGCTGAGGGCGAAGACACGGTTTGCTCAACACAAGGGGCAGTGCAAAGCTCTTGGGTTTTCTTGAGGACCCCTGCCTCCCTCCTAAGGCCATTCTGCGCCAACCTCTTCCTTGTGGGCAATGACTTTCTGCAGCCAGAAGAGAAGTCAGCTCTGTTTCCGTGGACTAATAGCCCCTTCTGTCAAACCGCATTGTGGGCTGGCCCTGAGGGGAAAGGCTGTCTGCAAAGTGACAATGGATGTGCTGGACCCTGCGATAGGGAAGTCGAGGCTGCCTGCGGCAGGGACTGATTGTTTCTCCCTGAGGCTTTTATCTTGTTTCTGCTCGGCATGACAGGTCCCCCCGGGGCGGGTAACTGTCACTCATCCTTGCTGTCATTATCCTTCTAGAGGAAAAGTCATTCATGGGGGAGGCGACAGGGCCAGGGAGGGAGAGGGGCTCAGTGCTACACTCCAGAGTTACGTGCAGCAGAGGCGGGGAGCCTGGCTGGGTGCAAGGCAGGGGCTCTCTGGGCTGGCCGGGCCGAGTTTTTGGGTCAGACACACTTGGGTTTCCAGCTCATCCTGGCCACCTGCAGGCTGTCACCCTGGGGAGGCTCCCCAAGCCCCGGGCTTCCGATCTCATTGGGAGCCGGGCTCCTAGCCCATGCCAGCACGGAACTCCGGAGAGCACACAGTAGGCACTCGCTGAGGTCCCGCGCTCTCCTGCCTCAGTTTACCCTTCTGAACGCCAGGGACCCAGGAAGAAACGTTTCGTGGGCGGCTGGACCCCAGCTGGGCCACGCGCCCCCCGGCACCTCGGTGTCCCTACAGCGAGGCCGCCCGGCTCCCCATAGCTCCTTGGCCCTCTCCGCCCCCGGCCCACTACCTATGGTGGAGATGAAAGTGGAGTTGAAGGCGTCCTCGGAGAAGCGGAACAGGACACAGGTCTTCCCCACCCCCGAGTCCCCGATGAGTAGCAGCTTGAACAGGTAATCGTAGGTCTTCGCCATATTACACTCTCTCCTAGACGGGAAGTGCGGCCGCTGCTTCGCCACTGGCTGCCCGCCTCGTCCATCAGCCCCGAATCCGCCCCTGATTGGCTCACGGCCCGTGGCGCGTCACTGCGGTGACGCCCGCGCCTGGGCCCCGCCCACCGCGCCGAGGTTTGGGCGAAGGGCGAGCTGGGCGCGAAGCCGGAAGCAGCCTGAGCACACCGCCCATTGGCCCGCGCTCGGGATGGGGCGGGCTGTTATTGGCCCGCGTTGAGGAGTTGGGGGCTTCAAATAGGGCGGGGAGGGGGCGTGGCGTTAGCGTTCGGGCCTGCTTTCCCCCCTACCTCTGGGGTGGTCCGCCTCGCCTCTCTGGAGGGGAGGGCGAGGGCGGGGTTGTCAATTGCTCCGCCCACTGGCTGCCCGGTGGTGCTGGCAGGCGCGCTGCGCATGCGCATGGGGCCGACCGTTGGTTTCAGCAGAGGGCGCTCACGTGTAAAGGGCGGGGCTCTAGGTACGCCCCAGCAGCCCGCGCAGTCGCAGAAGGCGCCCGGAGAGCGCGGGAAGGACGAGCGCGCGAAGGGCGGCTACCCCGGCGCCGTCCTCCGCAGAGGCCCGCAGACAGGGCGCGGTCGTCGGCGTCAAAAAGCAGCCCCCGGGACGCGCTCCAGGATCCTGGTGCTGGACCGCGGACCCCTCACCGGAGCGTCTTCGCCCCCTTCAGCCGCGTTGAGGTTTTGTGGGGCCTCCCGAGCCTCAAGAGCTTGTCTGAGTAATATTTCAGTATTTTGGGGCTCAGGCTAGGTGTTCCCCCCACACAATGCAGGATTCAGGCCCAGCCCGGGCAACTCAGCAAGACCCTGTCTCAGAAAGGAACGAGCGGGTAGGATGTGCGGCTGAGCGTGCAGGCCCTGGCTGCGGTTGCCAGCACCGCACGCGCGCACGCACGCACGCACGCATGCACACACGCGCGCACGCAGGGAGAGATGTGTTTAACCCCTGTGCGGTGCTGCAAGGCAGGTGCTGCTTTCTTGCTTTATGGTGAGAAGATCAAGGCCACAGGTTAAGTGACTTTCACGCCGACACACTTCATAGGCTAAGATCTGATCTGCAGTTTCCAGACTCAGACAATGTTCTTCTCGAAGTTTCCGGGCAGCCTCAGGGCTGACCCAAACGTGGGCTCATAGCTCGCCCCTCTCTCCTTTCCCTTCAGCTCCGGCTTTGATTCATGCAGCTCTGTAAGGAGTTCCAGCCAGAGCTTTCCACCACTTTCTAGCCCTGGCCTGGAAGGATAAGATATCTAGCTTGGCCACCTTCTCTGGAAATCCCTTTTTCTTGGTATTCTGCTCGTTTTGTATGCTTGTTTCTTCTACCACCTCTCTTCCCCCTGAGTGGCCTGTCAGAGCCCAATGCAGCCTTTCAGGGGATTTTGTTCCTCCTCACAGTTCCTCATTTCTGTTCTCACTTCCTGGGTGACCTCACTCACTCCTGCGGCTTCCAGTATCTTCATGCAGGGATGCTGCTTTCTGTCCATTTTCCCAGTGATTCCATGTTTAACTGCTTTCTGGACATTTGCCTTGGGATTTGCCAAAGAAAGTGCCAACTCCGCATGCCCACAGCTCAACTCATCTGTCCAGGTTCACTTCTAATTCTCTCTTGGTGAAACCTAAGGTAATAATTTTGAACATCTTTCTGGGATTGCTCTGATCCTGGTTCTCACAGAGATCCTGAGTAGTTCTGAATCTTGCCTTTCCACATTCATTGCTCCACTGGTCTCCCTGACCAGCACTTCCTCTAACCAGATGCTGCCCTGCAGTGCGCTCACTGTAGAGTATTTGTTTGTGGCCTCTCAGCAAGATAAAACCATCTTTACCTTAGGGTCCAGTGCCCTTCACAATCTCGTCCTAACTTCACAGTCTACAGGTCAGTTAACAGTGAAGACTTCCTTATAGTAAGTGCTGAGGCACAGGGATGACTAAGACAGATCCTGAGATTAGATTATAAACCAAGGGGAGGTGGGCAGGAAAAAATGAAGTAAAGGAGGAACTTCAGTCTAGTAAGGTAGAGGAGTTTGAGGAGAGGAATCACAGCTCAAATTCTACACTGTGAGCTGCTGACTCCACAGTGAATTGACAGGAACTATCTAATGATAGTTGATAACAAAATTGTTTGCACACTGTATTAACATTTCAAAGTTTTTCATTTCTCTTTCATTTCTGATTCTTTACTTCCCCTCCCTCCCCAAGGTAAGATCTTGAAGCCAAGTACAAGCAAGTCCAGTAGTGAAGCTGTACTGACTTTTTGACCTCTTTAAACTCCTGCTCATGCAGTCAGCTCAGTTTTAAGATCCCTTCTTCCTGAACACTACACCTTGTACTTTTCAGGGCTACCTTGGATTACTGAAACCCTTTCCCAACTTGCCTCCCTGCCCGCTGTCTACCTTGACTCTAGTCCTTGCAGAAAGTGAATGCAAAGTGGCTTTTCCTAATGCAGTACTTTGCTCACTTCAGTTTCTCTCAGCTTGACCAATTTAGATTTTGGTCAGCATGGACTCAGCCCCACCTTCTACCTTTTCTACTTCTGCTTTAGGTTTTTTTTTTCTGCACTGAAACTTGAACCCAGGGCTTCATACATACATCTGAGGCAAGCACTTTCCTGCTGAGCCACATCCTCCACTCTCTGCTTTGTCTTTTTACATACAGCACACACCCTTAGCCAGACGGCCTGGTATGCAGACAGGACTAGGGAGGACAAAGACCAGGTGCTGTCATCTGCAATACGAGATCATAACCCTTTTACCATGAAGTCATGGCATAAAGCAAATACGCAACGTCTGGTATGTTCTTGGCACAGTTACCTTTTCTTTGCATCCCATTCACGTTTGTTGAAGCAAAATGCACTGTATGTCCCCACATACTCAAGTTCACACAAGTGGTGGTTTCTGTAAAAATTTATTTGACCAAAATGTAGAAAAAGTGATACTATTACATATGATACAGTTGCAAGAATCTAAAGAAGAGTGTGGATTTTATTCAGTTGCACAATTCACAAGTGTATCTCCTGGTAGTGTGATGCTTAATAAATAGAGTGAGGGGCAGGGGACTCAGACAAGCTAGAAGCGGGCTGGCTTGAGTCAGAGTTGTAAACTGGAGTTGACCCCCATGCTGCTGGAGAATATGGAATGTTTCAGATCTGAGATGTTAACTGAGAAAGCAAAATGACAACAAAACCAAGATGTTCAGCCCCTGCCTACAAAATTCTCCACATCCAGTTTAATCAGGAGGTTTTTTTTTGAATGTTTAGTAACTTGGTCCCAAAGAAGGAATTCAAGTCCAAGCGAAGGAAATCTTCCATTTTCCATTAAGTGCAGAGATGAAGTTACACCCATGACTTTGATCTCCACTTTGCTGCCCAGTGTTTTTAATAGAAAGCATTTCTTTCTCTCAGTTTACTGATGGCCAACAGTCATCTGAATATGGCGGAACTAGACAGGACTGCACACCACATTCCTGCCCAGTGCATGGCCTTACATCAGAACAGACAAGCGTGGGCCACTGTTAAAGTTAGAGAGCCACTTGTTAGAGAACCATGTCAGAATGAAATACCTGGAGGAACATAGCATTCAGGACATGTCCAGAAAAGACCTGAGTAAGTGTTAGGACCACTTCCCAGGCAGGCTCGTGCTGCCTGTGCGGAGGATGTTTGTTCTGCAGTGTAGTATGGAGAAGGGCCATGGTGACCAGGTTAATCTAGCTGTGCTTTATGACTTTCCACAATAGCCCTTTCTAATTTTTTTTTTGCTCAGGATGGAAAATCCCCATCATTTTACTGTAATGGTCCCTAACTTCCTGCTGTTTGTGGACAAGGGTGACCCAGACAGTTTACAGTCTTTAGCATTTTTAAACCCACTGTGAGATAATCAGAGTCTATGTTTTAAAAGTGTGGGGTTATATTCTCCCAGAAAACAGATCTTGGTCTCAAAGAGAATGTGCTCAATACGAAATACCCTGCCTACCTTAGGAATAAATGCAACTTAAGGGTAAAAATAGAGCTAAAAAGCTGGTGCCATTTAGAAAGAAAAAAAGAGGGGGATTAAAATTTAACTGGTGCCCAAAGCATCTCTGCTATAAAATATTTGGTCATGTATTCATAACTGGCTTGACATTTCCAGCAAAGCGAAGATGCGATAACAAAAGAAACTTCTCACAAGGCGAAGAGAATGACACGGAGCACTGGAGTTTCTATGAGAACCACTTTTCCACTTCTGGTTATATACAGTTAAGTTCGTTTAGTGTCTGATCCAGTGTCTGATGTAGGCCCACGTTCTCTTCTTTGGCCTGGGCAAGTTTTTCTGGTGGGGATTAAGAGAGAAGAGAGAAGTGAATAAGCATCTTTGCTAAATAAAAGGAAAAAGTTTCTAAAAGAAATCTTCACGTTGACAAAGACAAATTCATAACAGAGAACATGTTTTTCATTTTAATTTCAGCAGAACAGTTTAGGAAACTAGGGGCCAAGAACCAAAATTTGAAGTCTGTTGCAAGGTAAACTACAGGGTACCATGTTAAACTGAATGTCAGATAAGCCACAAATGCTATTTTACAACAAGTATATCCCAAATGTTGTATGAGATGTACTTAGGCCAAAATACTATTCTTTGCTTATCTTAATTTCAAATTTAACTCAGCATCTTATATTTTCCCTGGCTGAGTCTGGCGACCCTACAGTCAGAGCACCTGTATTCAGACCCTAGTTGTGCCACTGCGGTAATCCATTGAAATTTTTTTTAAGAATGTATTTGATAAAGGGTCTCACTGTGCAGCTCGGACTCACAGTGATCCTCCTCTTTTCAGCCTCCCCAGCACAGGGATTACAGGTGTGTGCCACCATGCCCGGACTCCATCACTGGCTCAGTACACCTGGGGCGGGGCTGGTGTAGCATGAGGTACTGGGGTTCCAACCCCAGTCTGAAAGCATTTAGTCTGCTGAGCTACCTTGCTGGCCCAAGCCATTTAATTTTTCTAGGTCTTAGTTTCTTCCATTCTACTAAATGGATAGAATAGTACCAGCATATGATTTGGATATTATTAGGTGCCAATGAGAAAGGCTTCAGGAGATACGAAGAGCTTACACAAATTTAAGATTTAAGTACTAATGTGGGTGACTTAGTAAAATTACCCCTAATGCCAGGCATTAGTCCCTGACTTTGACAGGAAGATGCAATCCCACAGCCCATCTTTGCTGTCAGGCCCCTGGAGTGGCTGTTTCCATTCCAGACCTAATTGTGTCCTCCTGTCTGTGTATCTGCACCAGTCAAGTCAACCTCTGATAAGTGTAACATGACTGAAATTCAGACCAGACTGTATTTGCAGACTTGTTTTCCAGTGATTGAGCTGATTAAAAAAAAAAAAAAAAAAGCCATGACAAAGATGAGAAAGGACTGGTTTGCAGTGCGGGATGGCAGATAAGGGACTAGGCCAAGAGTCATTAAAATACTGGAAGGAAAGCAAAATGCCTCAGTGCCTCATAAAATATGATAGCATCAGCCTGGAAAATTTCAGCAGGACACAACAAGGGATTGGAGAAGTTGGCTGCCTTTTGCTACAACAGTGGAACCTTTCATTTGAGAAGGGACTTAAGAAAAAACCCACTGGGTGTGTAATCCCAGCACTCCAGAGGCTGAGGCAGGAGCATCAGCACAAGTTCCAGGCCAGCCTGGGCTACACAGTGAGTTCCAGGCCAGCCTGAACTACACAGGAGAACCCGTCCCAAACGCAAAGCCAAGTGACGCACAGCTGTGGATCTGGATCTGGAGATGTCCAGAAGTGCCCTGAGCTGGGTTCTGCCTTACATCATCATCAAGTCCTCACAATTTCTTTTTAATTTTTCTTTTTGGATACAGTCTCATTACACAGTTCAGACTTGTAGTGCTCCTCCTGTCTCAGCTTCCCCAGTGCTGGGACTACAGGTGTATACCACCACACCTGGCTTCAGTGGCTGGCATAGCATGTGGTACTGGGGATCAAACCTGGGACCTTGCTCTTTCCAGGCAGGTGCTTAGGCCACCATGCTATCTTCCCAGCCCAATCCTCACAATTTCTGCAGATCATATCTTTAGTTTAAAAATTTTTTTTGTACTGGGAATTGAACCTACAACCTTGTGCTTGCCAGGCAGACACTTACGCTGCTGAACTATCTCCCTAGCCTTATACCTTACTTTTTGAGGAAAGCTAAGCAGCTTGTTCAAGATTGCATAGCCCAAGTGTAGAGCTAGGATTCCAACGCAGGTCTCTCACTAACAGATCCTAAACTCACCTCATCCCGTCTTCTGGATTCTCTGGCATCGATTTGCTGTTACGCCTGAGATGAAGTAGTTTTCCCTCAAAGGTTTAACTGACTTTGCGGACTGTGTCAATGCTCATAGGCTCCCACCTCCATACCACTCCTCTTTGTAAGTGAAATCCATTTTGGTGCTCAGTAAGTAGAATGGACAGGCAGGGCTGGACAGTTATTTCAGAGGGCAGAGACTACAGATGTCCGGAAAAGTCCCAGGAAGCAGATCAAGAGAAATCACTCCCTAGACAGGCTGCAGTCATCCCAATGGCTTACATGAGACAGTAGGCAGTGGTAGTTAAGGACAGAGAGAAGTTGGGGATGGGAAGATAGGGGTAGTTTAGGGGAAAACATATATATATGTATTTTTTTTTAAAATGAGCAGAATATATTTATTGAGGGAAGAAAAGCTCCTGTCTGAGAGAACAGGAGAGGGTCTTGAGCGGGTTGTCCCTGGGAAACGTATTTTGTAGGAATAAACAAAAAATTGGGACGGAGTGCTATCTGAATTAAAACCAAAAAACCAAAAAACCTAAGCTAGGCATGGTGGTGCACACTTGTAATCTCAGCACTCAGGGCTGAGGCAGGAGGATCCATGTGAGTTGGAGACCAGACTGGGCTACAAGGTAAGCTCAAGGCCAGCCTGAGCTGCATAGCGAGACCCTGTCTCAAAAAGACCAAAAATAAATAAAAAACAAACAAGTGTAGCATGATGACAATCAAGGTTCTGGGTATGGTTCCGCACTCCTTCAATCCCAGCACTCTGGAGGCTGAGACAGGAGGACCGGGAGTTGAGGTCAGTATACACAGGGAGTTCAGGATCACCTTGAACTATGTAGCAAGATCCTGTCTCAAAAAAAAAAAAAAAAAAAGGTGTAACAACCCACATTTGATCTACTTGGAGAGTTCATGCCCTTTTCAAGTTTGGTGGGTGCTCCAGGAGATGTGATGGGACATCAAAATGTCACGTGTTTCGAGGGTAATTTGAGGTGTAGGGGGTGGCTACAGGACAGAGCTCATTATTTGAGTTTTGAACTTGAAATCTGAATTATGATGGACAAATCCATGAGTTTTTGGGTCACTTTAAACATGAATTTTGAGCAACCACCAGAAAACTGTATACATTCTCACTAAACCAGACAGTGTCCTGGGAAGTGTGAAGAGAGACAGATGGTAGTGTCTCTGGCCACTCTGTGTAGAATTTACGGGGGAAAAGTCACCTTACTTCTTTGAAGGCCTAACAGTTTTGACTCCCTTCCCCTGCTATGTTCTTGGATTCCCTGCGCAGCTTTCCCCTGGAGAATTGTCCCCTGGCACTGAGAGCTGGATTCCTGTTCCCTGAACAGAGACGGTGGGAGGGAGCCTGGTCCCCATTCTGAGCACCACAGAGAGACAGATGAGCCAAGGACGAAGGAGAGGCAGGCACCCTTGCCGCCACCTGAATTCATAGCTCGCAACTGCCTTCAAGGGTTGCCTAGCTGGCAACGCAGGCCGGCTGGCTGCTGCGAGTTCTGCCGTTTATTAAGCTGCCCCAGAGGCCTGAAGGGGTGAATCTCCATTCAAACGACTTCTATTTAAGGAAAAACTACTGGCATGAGAAGCAGCTAATACCACATTGGGGAGCCTGTGCCAAAGTGGCTGTCTTCATGTTTCAGAAGAGCATGGAGTGGGTGTCATCTCTCTAACAAGCTGCTCTTCAGAGAGGAGACAAAGCCAATCCCTGACTTGTGGCTCCAGCCACGGTCAAGGACGGCAAGCAGAACCAGAGAGGGACGAGGGCTGCCTGTCTCGATTTCACAGAGTCACACACATCATAAGGCCTGAAAGAGCAAACGGGACAGGAACCTGGAGCTCCTGGAAACCCACGGCAGAGTAGGCGCCACGGGAGAAGGCACACCTCAGTACTGCTGGCACCGAGGGTGGCACCCCAAAGCTCGGGAGACAGCATGTGGCTGAGAGCTTGGTGCGGCTTCAGAACCTGCAGCTCATCTAGAGGGTGAGGTCGCCAGGGAGCATTGAGTGGAGAGTCACGGACAAACAAGGAGGGGAAGAAAACAAAGTGAGACTGGGTGTGGTGGCACACACCTGTCACTCCAGCACTTGGGAGGCTGAGGCAGGAGGATCACTGAGTTCAGGGCCAGCCTGCACTACATAGGGAGACCGTGTCTCAAAACAACAAAAACCAAAGCAAAACAAAGCTGGGACTTGGGGAAAATATGTTCTGTGTACAACAAACAAAAACAAAGGTTCTACAGAGTGATTTCTAAGTTGTGTGAGATGCTGTGAGGCATTAGCCATAATGAAGGAACCTTCAGCATGGTGACTAGAAACGGCCAGGGCTTCCTCCCAGCCACCCTGGGACACCAGATTATTTCTGACTTCCAGTGCTGTCACTCAACTCCAAGGCTGCCGCTGGGAATTAGGGCGCCTTCCCTTATATGGAAGCTTCACTTCCCCAGGCAAGCACAGGGACATGTGGTCTGAAGAACGGCACCCTGCTGGGCGCGACAGGAAGGCTGGGAGATTTGGGTTTAACCCCACGTTTCTGGAATGTCCCAGCTCTATCACGAAAGACACAGGACAGAATGTTTATAATTGGAACGTTTCAGGAAGTGCTGCCTGTGTGGGGCACCAGCCAGACTTGCAGGCTCGCCTAAAATTCCTCTGGTCTCTGCAGTCCCTATCTTTCCATTTTCTCATAGTGCGACAAGCCTGCATCTCCCTGGGAGGAAGCTCTGTAAAAATGCAAGGCATTTCTGAAATGAGCAAGTTAAAGGATTCTAGACTTCCTCACTCTGCATTCTACTCCTTTGGCGAACAAAGGCAGACTCAGCCCCTGTACAAGGCCCCACCCCACCCCCACCCCAAGGCTGTCACACAGGAGGAGACAGACAAGACAGACTTTTTCCTACCTTCCAGGTCGTCAATGGTCTTTTCCAGCTTTGAAACTGTTCTCTCTGCGAATTCCGCGCGGGTCTCAGCCTAGGGAGGAGGAGAGTCAGCACACGTGGCCATGGCCCGGGTGTGGCCGGGGACCCGCTGGGTGAGGCCCACTCACCTCTTTCAGTTTGTCAGACAGAAGTTTAATTTCTTCTTCATATTTATCCTCCTTTTCAGAATACTGTGGGGGAAACCAAAACATGGCTTTAGGACAGGACAAATACAAAGCGTAGGAGGAGGCAGAGGGCCCTGGCAGGGTGGCAGGCGCATGAAGCGCAGGGCAGAGCTGCAGCTTCCGGGCCAAAGCTCGGTGATGCGCTTGAGGCCAGGCCGTGTTTCCAGTCATTTTCATCTCTCCCCACTCACCAGATGGCACGCCGCCTTCCAGCCCCTCTCCGTGAGTGTGTCGCCAGCATGGCCTGTCCCTGACCTGGTGACTCCCAGTCACATGGTCTCTGGGGCCTCACCCCAGGTGGGCTACCCTCCAGTGCACCACGCCCCTGTGCCTCAGTCTATTTTCCAGATGGCGAAAGGACAGTACAAAGGCTAAGTTCTTGTCTCAGGGCCCATGGCTGTTGAGTGACAAGGCTTGATGAAAGTGTGGGGTCAAGGCTCTGGTTGTGGATTCTGGGCTTCTGGCTCTCACCACAGAAGTGGCTGGTTTTTTTTTTTTTTTTTTGAATAACCCCTTTAGCACTGGGGACAGAACCCCAGGGTCTTGCTGGGGGACCAAGTGCTCTAACACGGAGGTATGCTGCCAGCCCTCACTAGCTTTTGAAAAAATGTCACCTTCTTGATGACAGTTTCCCAGTTTTGCAAGATCTTTGCATTGTATTCTGAAGCACTCTGTTACTGTCACCGTCTGCCACCTCTGGCCCAGGGCTGCATCTGACATGCATGAGTGGACACGTTTATTTATGACCTGTCCCTGTGGCCTGCAGACACCAGGAGCGGCACTCTGTCAGGGACACTGCCCTCCACGAGGCAGACAGGCTAGGTTGTGATACATGCACAGGGCCGGGCAGCGTGCACATGCTTAGCACGTTCTGCTTTCAGAGCCCTGATAAATAAGATCACAGCAGGAGACACACAGAGGACTACGCCAGTGAGCATGTGGAAGGCCCTTTTCCGAGTGGGAAGCCAGACAGGGGCTCTCGGAAGGAGCCAAGAGTCAGTTGAGGCATGAAGAATGAATAGGGTTTTCAAGCCCAGGGATATGGGACAAGGGATGGCCATGCCAGGCTGAGTGTACAGCAGGTTCAAAGGAGAAGGTGATGGCCAGGCATAGTGGCATATGCCTATAATCCCAGCACTCGGGAGGCTGAGGAAGGAGAATTGTTGCAAGTTCAAGGCCAGCCTGGGCTACACAATGCAACCCTGACTTAACTCCTCCCCCCAAAAATAAAGAGTTAAAGAATGAGGTGATGGGGAACGTGGGAGGCCTTGAGTTCCAGTACACCCAGTGATGGTGGGAGAAAAGAAATGAAGCTGGGGGATTCCTTGGGCTGGGCTGCAGAAGAGTGGGCGTGGTCTTTTCTGGAGTAACTGCTCTGGACACTTTTGACCTGAGAAAGCCAGTCCCATCCCTGAGAAGGTAATTCTGGAAGAAGCAAGGGCTCCAGGAGGCAGTGAAGCTTTGCATTTATTTTGTTTTGCTTAGCTCTCCCTGAGAGGAGCCTCACCAGGTACTCAAGATTGCATCCCCATCCTCATATGGAGCGGCTGTGAAAGATACTTAAGTCAGATTGCTGGCGCATACTACTTAGGAGGCTGAGGCAGGAGAGTAACAAGTTTGATAGCCTGGGGAACCTAGTGAGAACCTGTCCCAAAAAAGGAGGGGTAGGTGGGTATGGTGGTGCACTCCTGTAATCCTAGGACTTGGGAAGCTAAGGCAGGAAGATTGCTGCAAGTTCACGGCCAGCCTGGGCTATATAATCAAACCCTATCTCAGACAGAAAGAAAGTTCAGAAAAAAAAAAAAGGCAGGAGCTATAGGTGATGGAGCAGTTGCCTAGCATGGGTAAGGCCCTGGGTTCAATCACACATATGTTAAAAGAAAAAAGAAAAACCAGGTACTAGGACCCCATGGACAGCGTTGCTGAGCACTGGTAAGTCCAGCCTCTGGCCAGCTCCTCGGCAGGGGGAAACCCTGGCTGCTGGCACAAGAGCCGCTGTTGACAAATGAAGGTCAGATTCCCGATACCCTGGCATGTTCTGAGTAACTTGGCTGAAGAACAGAGCAAAGTCCAGCATGCCTCCTTCGACTCGGGCTAACCACCAACCTTCTCAGATGCAGCCTCCAGTGACTTCAGGTTGTTGGTGACATTCTTGAGCTCTTCTTCCAGGTCACCACATTTTCTGCACAAAGACAAAAGAATCAGGGTGTCTCTTCTTCCCGTACAGCAGGCAGTACTCTTAAAAAAAAAAAAAAAAAAAAGCCTGCAAAAGGAGAAGCCTGTGCTGCCCAGGGCCTCCAGAAGGAATGCGGGAAAAATGTTAATGGATTTTGTAATGTTGTGTACTTAGCAAATCTTTCTCATACCAGGCAGAGGCAAGGCGGGCTGGCTGGGAGCACTTGGAAGGTACGTAAAGCACTCCTGGGCTTTTGCCAAGGGAGTGGCTGCAGGGACGTAGGGAACTGGCTGCATGAGGCCACGCCGCCGGAAGGGGTAAGGACAAGAACGGGTGCAGAAGCCGGCAGGCAGCCACCAGAGTTCACACCGAACACTCCTGGAAGTGAGCCTGGAGCAGGTTTGTACAACCAGATCTCCCTTGGCACTGCAGGGTGCTCGGTGGAGCTGGACTCCTCATCCCAGGCCAAGGAAAGAGGCGTTTTGTTTGTTGGAGCTTGTAGAGTTCTGGTCAAGCTTGCCCCACGCCCCCAGAATGACTTGGCCCAGCAGTGACAATGCAAAACATCGCAGCACCGGAAGGGCAGCCTGCCCTGCGCCGTCATCCATCTGTAAGAAGGCTTGGCCTGTGAGGCATGAGGGTGCATGCCTATAATCCCAGCCACTCAAGTGGCCGAGGCAGGAGGATCACAAGTTCAAGCCAAGCCTGGGCAACTTGGACTCTTTTTTGTTGCTGTTTTTTAAGGTCTCATTATGTAGCTCAAGCTGGCTTTGAACTGGTGATCCTGCCTCAGCCTCCACAATGGAGGCTTTCAAAAAAGAAAAAAGGAAAACTCAAGGTGGGGCATGGTGGTACACGCCTGTCATCGCAGCACTTAGCTGGCTGAGCCAGCAGGATGTTGAGAGTCTGAGACCAGCCTGGGCTACAAAGCGAGCTCAGGGCCAGCCTGATCAGAGACCAAAAAAGAAAAACAAAAAACCAAAACCTTGAGATGACCTTTCTGAGAAAACAGGGCTCCTGGGGCTCTCTAGCATCACCCGTGTTCTGTCTATTTTACAACATCTTCGTGGGAAAAGGACACACTGGACACTTCACAGGGCAGTGAAGGCCAAACGGTTACAGCGCCTGTCAGCCATGGGCGCAAAGGGCAGACATGCGGGTGCCCGCCCGCCCGGCCGAGGCCCTGCACGGGGCCCGCTCCTAACAACTCCCTCCTCCACCCGGGGAGTGAGTCGGCCAGTTTCCACACTCACAGTTCAGACACCTCCGCACGCTCCTCGGCCCTTTCCAGCTCGCCTTCCAGGATGACCAACTTCCGAGCTACCTGCGGAGTCAGAACGGCCGAGCAAGGTGACCCCGCCACCCCGCAACTGTCGGACGCCCGACCAGTGCAGACGGCTGTGCCACATCCGCAGCACAGGCAGCAGGGGCTTCCTGTGGGCCCCCCAACTCAGGGGCCGAGGGAGGGAATCAGGAATTGAAATCCTCTCCTGGGCCCCAGGAGTGAGGCAGGCAGCTGGCGAAGGGGCGTGAACCCCAGAGACAGGTGGAAGAGGCACGGAAGCGCTGCCCTGGGCCCCTGGGCTTGCCAAACTGGGCCACAGCGCCCAGCCACAGGCCCCGAGTGTTCGCAGGGCTTTGGGCGTCACACGGGATAGTTTCCTAGCCACGCGGGCGTCTCTGGCAGATGTGCGCCAGCGCAGCCGTCCTGCAGGGCTTCCTTTTCGCTGCCCCTGGCTTCCTCCCACCCGCAGCCCCCGTTTCCTCCTGCTCCCTGCCGCCAGCATCTGGGACCCGCTCACCTCCTCGTACTTGCGGTCCGCTTCCTCAGCGATGTGCTTGGCCTCTTTGAGCTGCAGCTCCTGGATCTCCATCTTCTCCTCATCTTTCATGGCCCGGTTTTCTATCACCTTCATCCCTCTGCAGAGAGAGAGCAAGCTCTTGGCTGCCCTGAGCGCTCATAGACCGCTGCCCTGCTCCTCTGGGCCCCCGTCTGCATTTCCTGAGCTGGCAGTGTTGCAGGCGAAGCTCTGTTGACCCTTCCGAGTTCCATAACCTCGGCCGGCACCCAGGGGATGGGCGTGGCCGCCACGGCAAGGACAGGAAAGTCTCTGGTGTGAGCGAGCACAGTGCAGGGCGCTGCTTGCACAGCTAGAGCCTGGGTGGTCTGCAGCAGCTGGGGAGCCGGCTGCGGTGGGGCCGGAGGGGTCACAAGAGTCTTCATAATAGGTGAAGTTGGGCCGGCCAAATGACTCAGTGGATTAAGGACCCGGGTTCGATCCCCGGGCCTGCCAGGTCGGCCCCGCCCCTGGGGGCGCGCTGAGACAGCAATGGAGACTGGGTGTGGTGGCGCAAGCCTGTAATCCCAGCTCTTGGGAGGCTGTAAACAGGCGGGTCACTATGAGTCTGATCTAGTAGTAAGACCCTGAACACCCTGTAGACCCTTCCCTAAAATATAAAAATAAAGAAAGAATAGGTGATGTCGATGCTAGGCTGTTCCACGAGTAAGAAAGCCTGACATGTGAACAAGCAGGTATACTGGGGAACAGTGCAGCAGCTGGGTGCCAGGCCTGAGGCTGGGGTGTAGTGCAGGGGCTTATGCCGAGGGGAAGGGGGCACTGTAGGGCTTTACAAAGCACAGGGCCAGAGGAAAATGATGGCTTGGACTTAGTGGGGAAACCCTGTGGGGTTTAGGGGTGGACAGAGCCTCCTTCACCTGAGGACCAGAAATGCCCTCCCTAATCTGAGGACTCGAAGTCCAAAGAAGATCTAACTCAGTGGGGTGTGTGTGTGTGTGTGTGCGCGCGCGCGCGCGAGCGCTGGAGACGCAGTCCAGGGCCTTACTCATGCTAGGTCAGTGCTACAGTACTTGGCTACATCCCCAGCCCAAGCTTTTGGAGTCCTGACTTCCCCTGACAAACAGAAAATTCTACACCTAAGTCTAGGTGATGGATCACCATGGAAACACGGAGACAGTGAAAATATCCTATGTGGTTACCTTCAGGGCTATATAAATATAGAAAGTATTTTTTAGACTTGGGTCCTGTCCCTAAGGAGAGCTCATTATAGATACATAAATACTCCAAAAGGTGGTTAATAATTTTTTTTTTCCTTTGGTATTGGGGATTGAACTCGGGACCCTGTCCTTGCCAGGCAGGCACTTAAGTCACTGAGCTATCTCCCCAGCCCAAAAATGTGGGAAAAAAAAGAAAAAAGTAAAGTAAAATCCAAAATAGTTCCAGTCCCAAGCATTTTGGATAAGGGATGCTTGGCCAGGGGAGGGGTGTGGAAGGTCCACAACAGTGGGTCTGCCTGACTTGGAAAGGGTTAGGTCCTGGGGACAGCTGGTAGCTGGCCTCGTCCAGTGCAGCTGGTTGCCAGGAAGCGAGCTTGCTTTGGCTTCCTGAACTACAAGGAGTGGAATGGTTAAGATCCTAGAGCGCCCACCAAGAGACCAGCTCAAAATAATGGCGCATCAACACGTAGCATTCTCCCGCTGGGATTACAGGTGTGCACCACCATTCCTTGGTGTCATTCCTGCTCCTGCTTTCTGTTGGACAAATACTTCTATCCGGACTATCGTCGTCACCCTCAGCCAGCCATCGCAATGCCCTGCACGTCCGCGCAGGGCCTTAGTTCAGCATGAGCAAGCTTGCAGGATGTTGATGGTTGGAAGACCCCTTATAAAACTCAAGCAAGCAAATGTGCCCAGCTGGGTGCCTCTGTGTACCTCTGTGGTCCCAGTTACTCAGGAGGCTGATGCAGGATTGCTTGGGCCTGGAAGTTTGAGATCAGCCTAGGTAACAAATCAGATCCCATCTCAAAACACACTGACTGTCCAAGTGGCAGAGCAGAGTCCGCATCTAGCTCCTCCGCTGCAAGTGAGGAATTCTTTCTCCTGACACACAGCAATTTGCCACAAAGGCCTCTGGCACTATGAAGCAATCAGGTGAGTGGCCCGCCCTGGCTCTCTCAGTGTGTCACTGGGGAGGTCCTTGAAGTGAGACACCCGGCCAGGCTGGTCTGACCACAGGCAGGAGCAGGAGTTAATCCAGGCCCAGTCACCAGCGCCTGCTGGGCTCCTGTACCACCTCTGTGGCTGCCTGAGCTGCCATCTCGTCCCCCATGAAGGTGCTGGAACAGCTCGAGCAGGTGCCGTTTCCTCTGCCCACCTGGGAGCCTAGTCTCATGAGTCCCTCGTTCACACATGGCGTAGTATCCAGTTTAGGGGCACATACCCACAACCAGAATGAGTCCTCTGGGGGATTCTCTCAGGGAGACCTAAGTGAATGGGGTGCCTGGGAGAAATGCTGTGACCCGGGCCGGGCCCACACCATGGCCAACAAGGAGCCCATTTACCAGCTGAGGCTGCAGCTTCTGCAACGCACAATCTCCCCTCAGTCCTCCAGAGAACAATCAGCGCCCAGGGACAGAGCACCCGGGAGACCCAAACCTGGCGCCAATGCCATGCGGGTTATGAGTACGCTGAGGGTACTGCCCCCCCAGCTGCTACTATCTGTGAGCCTACAGCAGGCCCACCGCGAGCTCAGTTTCTAAGCAGATGGCCCACTTCCCTTTCCACCCCCCCTTTACTTCCCATGCTGGGTTTTGAACCCAGAGTCTTCGCAGCGATCTACGTCTCAGACCTTTTCCTAGTTTTTCTTCCCTTTTTTTTTTTTTTTTTTTTGGTCTTTGTGAGACAGGGCCTCCCTGTGCAGCTCAGGCTGGCCTTGGGCTCACGTAGCTGAGGCTGCTCTTGACTTTGCACCGATCCTCCTGCCTTGGCCTCCTGAGATGTGGGATTACAGGGCTGACCACCACACCTGGCTCGTTCCCCTTTCCACGTCACCCTGACAGTGAGGTAGTGAGAGCAACCTCCAGAAAGCAGCACTTTCAGAGCTTCTGATTGCAATCTTCTACCTGCCCATTTTCTGCTTTCTGTGGTCTGACCCCATTTCCTGAGGTCACGCAGTGCTGCCCCTGTGCTCCGGCATCCTTACCTCTCGCTCTCATCTGCAGCCTTTTCGGCCTCCTCCAGTTTCTGCAGGGCCGTGGCCAGTCGCTCCTGAGCCCGGTCCAGCTCCTCCTCCACAAGCTGGATGCGCCGATTGAGGGCTGCCACATCTCCTTCAGCCTAGAGGGGTAGGAGCACAGGCAGGTTAAAGGGCCCGGGTGGGCCTACAGCGAGGGCCCGCGGCACCCTACTAGAGCCCACGCACACCCCAGCCAGAAGGAGAACTGATCCTTTGTGCGACATCTACAAAGTTCAGCGTGACCCTTGTAGCCCTATAGATTTGACATCACGTGATGGGCGCCTGGTGTCAACACGGCCGACAAATGCCTTCGCTTACTGAGTATCATCCAAAGGGTCGGACATTGCCATCAACAGAGGGAAACATCATGAGAGCTCACTCGAAGGCGCTGGCCTTTCCAGCAGCGGATGCGCTGTGAGGACGAGACCCAAAGCTGTACTCGTCGAGCTCTCTACGGGGTCCCTGGATCTAGCACTCGCCATGGGCTTTGCAGAGCAAGGCCCGCCTGGGAGCCTTGGCACACCACAGCCCAGCAGGTTTGCGCCATGCTCCCCGGAGGCGAGATGAATGCCTGATCGGAAGCCCAGACACTGACCAGCAGAGGCAGGCAGAGCAAGAGGGGGAGCAGTCTCCGATTAACTCCGACTCAGAAGCAAAGGGACAAAAACAGGACAAGAAAGGAAAGAACCCTGGGCCACAGGCCAGGAAGACATCCAAGCACTGGGATTTGCCTTTTTAAAAAATACTGTGTTGGAGAAGGAACCTGGGGCTAGGCTAGCACCCTAGTCAGGGTCTTGCTAAGGTGCCCACACTGGCTTTGAATTGGCAACCCTCCTGCCTCAGCTTCCTAAGTACTGGGACTGCCGGGTGTAGTGCACCTTTTATTGTGATGGAGTGTGCAAAAAGCAGGAAATGTGCGAAGCACGAACGTCATCCATGGATGCCGAGTCAGCACCCGGCTCGGCCACCTGTGGCAGTCGCCTCACTGCCCTGAACCTTTCTCCGAGCCTAGAGGCGTCCCACAGCTGCCTGAGGCCTGTCACCCCAACACAGGGGTAGGGATCACGCGAGGGGAGCCTTATGTGGCATCACGCCCCCTTTACTCTCTTGCGGCTCGCTCATTTCAGACCCGGACACTGCATGCCCCTGTTAGGCACAGTGGCTTGTCCAGTGACTCAGAGCTGGCCAGGACCGGCTCGCGAGCCCCGCCCAAGCCAAGGCTCTTCCCTGTCGGTGGTTGCCTCAAGCCCTGCAGAGGCCTGAGATCTGGGGAGGGCCCCTCCGGAAGGACGGCAGGGGACATGGGGGAAGTAAAGTGGCAGGGGGGCCGTGCCACCCTCTTCCTGCCAGGACAGAGAAGGCCCTGGCTGTAATTAGCGGGAAGTCAGACCTTCTGTAGCCGAGTTTACACAGCAGAAATAAAAGCGCTTCAACGAGAGTAGGAAATCGTGGCTCAGAGACACAAAACCAGGAAGGTTCCTCAGCCCACGACGGCCCCAGAACCTGACAGAGCAGACACCACTAGTGTTTCCGGTCGCCCCATCCCTGAAAACATGGGGTGGAGATGCATGAACATTGCTGATAGCATCTGTCAAGGCATGTCACTCTGCCGGGCAGGGTGGCACACGCCTAGAATCCCAGCGCCAGGGAGGCTGAGGCAGGAGGGGCACAGCGACTCTGAGGCCAACCTGGGCTACATGGTGAGACCCTGCCTCAAAAAACAAAAGTCACTCAGTCCTTCCAAATAACCAGGTGCCTTTTTTCTTTGTGGTGCTAGGTTAGGAGCAAGCATACCCCCAGCCCAGGGCACCTCTTTTTAACAGCAGGGACCTCAATTTTTCTCACTGTCAGCCCCCAGGGCAGGATGCATATTTTCTTCCATTAAAAAAAAATATAGTCACAAAATTGTGCAAGAAACCTTATCATCTAATTCCAGAAGTTTCATCACCCCACAAAGCAATCTAGTACCCTTCAGTAGGCAAGTAATTGCTTTAAAAAAAATCATACAGGTGCTTGATTCATGTTGCCTCCAAAAGAAAAAAAAAAAAAAAAAAAAAAGTAAGCAGCCCCTGATGTGGCAAATTCTGAATCCTAGCAACCACGTTTTTGGCAGGTGTTCAACTGTCTGGAATCCAAAGAGCTCCGAGCTGCCCACATAAATGTAGAAACTGCACATACATACACATACATGTATTTCTGAAAAACTGCTAGTCACTTAGAGAGTCATTCTGTGCTCCACCCCTTCCTGCAATCAAAGCCTTCCACAGTCTACAAAGGATTTTCCTTATAAGGTAAAAGAGGCCTGCTAGATACATGTGGCAAAGGAACAGGAAGATGTCAGCTAATCACACAAAAATCTAAACGAAACCAGCTGTTGGGAGGCAGGCCCAGAGTCCGCCACACGCCTGGCGCTCTCCTCCCCGCAGGACGCTCAGAGAGGGATCTTTTCCCCCTTTCCTCGCCCTCAAGAATCATCTTAGGAGGTGCTCGCTCAATGGAGTGAACTTCTCAACAAGCCCCAAACTTTCCACAAGTCTCCCTCCCTCCCCCTGGACAGCCCACTGCCTAGTCGCTGGAGGCTGAGGCCATTTGGAGCAGGAGGGATTGTGCTCTGGGCAAGCCGCCTTGGGGTGAGGTCAGAGGGCGACAGAGGCCAGAGCAGCTACTGTGGAGGCCGACGGGGCTTTCGCTTCCTCCGGAGCCCAGGCCGGGGCTGGGTGGCAGGCCACGCTCCAGAAGGGTCCTTGCACACACTCGGGCCAGACAACCTCTCCTCTGGGGCCCCCACGCCGCGCTCCCGCCTCTTCATACACACTTGGCTGCCTCCCCCGGGGTCCCCACACGCCCTCTTGGTCTTGCACCCCACAACTGAGCACGGGAACCCCCCCCAGTGCTAATCACACCGCACCCCTCCAGTCGGCGCCCCTCGGGCCTCTGCTAACCGCGAACTTTTCAGCCCACTACGAGCCCGGGTCGTACAGTGTGCGACGGGGTCAGAGCCGGTAGCCAAGCCCCAAGTCGCCCTCCGGGGCGCAGCAATAGGCCGCGGGGAGGGGGGTGTCCGCTGGGCCGCGCTTCCGCCCCGGCCCGGCGCGGACACGGAGCCACCTAGCCCTGCCCGGTCGGGAAAGTTCAGGCGACAAAGCGCTACGCGACGCCCCCGCCCCGCGCCCGAGGGAGCCGGCCGCTGCCTCCCAGGACAATGGGCGCCTGGGCCGGGGCCCCAAGTCCCGCCCGGCCGGGCGCTGCACCCCCTCTCCGGGCAGGCGCGGTAGGAGGAGGAGGACGACGAAGAGGAGGAGGAGGAGAAACAGGAGGAGGACATGGAGGTGGAGGAGGAGGAAAGACCCGGGCGCTGGGGCGCGGGAAGGGGGAGGAGGCAGCGAAGCCGGGGCGCGGGCCCCTCACTTTCTCGCGCCGCTCGCGCTCGCCGTCCAGCTCACGCTGCAGGCCCTGCGCGCGGTCCTCCGCGTCGTCCGCCTGCTGTTGCAGCGCCTGGATCTTGCGCTTCACCGCCTCCAGCGAGTTGAGCCCGGCCATGGCGCGCGGGCGCTC